AAAGTAAAGATGGTTTATCCCTTTGAAACAAGGCAAAGAATAAAAGATCACTCGGCAAAGACATACTTCACACATGCAGCTTTCTCAATTTACTTTTACATTAAAAAATTTTTAAAGTTAATCCGCTCTGTGTTATCAACTGTCATCGTAAGCTATCCTCATATTAGCCATATATCACTGATAACTCTTGAATGAAGTATTTAGCAATTGTGTTTCTACTATATGTAGATGACAAGCAGCTCCTATTACCACTAATACCTTTGTGCAGCAATTCCTCACCTATACTTGATTGTTAATGAACAGCCATATATAGATACTTCCAAAGAGTATTTAATAATGCACAATTCTTAAGACCCCTTGTATTAGTATCAAGCATAAATAAATTATATAAACATTGAATAAAGGAGATTCTTAGTCATTACTCAGCTATCAGATGCCCCACCTAAGCATTAAAATGATTTGCTGTGGTGATATCAAACTGGTAACATTGTATGAGATTTGATTCACTCGGTTCAAAGCTTTATAACCATTTAATACCGCTCGACCACTTTCATGTAGCAATAAATCTGAGTCCATACAGATGCAAAGTGCTAACTGCGAACTTTTCTCGAACTGCTTGATAATTAACACTTCAAAGAGGGTATGTGTTGGGACAATAATCAATTCACAGTCACACTTCGCAACAAATGCGACAATGTTACAAAATTAGTTTAACATGCATTTTTGTTTCGAACACATTCCATCGTAAGACTGGCTGAGCAGTAACTTTTGAAATAAAATTTAGAAAAAAATTGCTTTTAACGTTAAACTGCTTGGCTAGAAAATGAATGAATACAATCCTTGCTGATTCAGTAATACTTTAGTATGGATCCAATTGAAAGGTTTGAAAGGTTATGCACTGCAGCACAGATTGAGAACAGCTGACAACATCGCTTGAAAACATCACTGCCCACATTTTGATAAACAGATAGTCTTTTTCCTGGTCGTTTTGAAGATAAGGAGCTCTTTTCAAAGTTTTCCGATCCTATCTTGTATGGCCAGAACTTTGTGTATGCTTGGACTAAATGGAAATGACCCATATAACAATAAATCTGAAAATAATTGGAACAAGATTTTATGTGCGCATCGCTCTTCTAATAATCAATAAATTCATTTTATTACTGGACATTAACAATCTATAGGATGCTAAAAAATTGTTTGGAACCATGTGCACTTCTCTTATAGAGCCATATGGTTGGGCCTTCTTACCAGATTTGCTACTGGAAGAAATTTTCTCCCAATTACCTATTAAAAATTTGGGACGCTGTTCACAGGTCAACCATTTTTCAAATATTTATCCAAAACAACATTTGCAAAAAAAATTTATCTAGGATTTGAAAAACTAATTTAATCAACTTTGCTTGGGTGTAGAAGTTTCGAAAAAATTATTAAAGTCTAAATGAATTTCTAGAATTAGGAAGAGATTGTTTATTTTATTTTTGTTTTCATCATTAAATATTGTTTTTGGTCAAAAACAAAAATACATTCTATTGATAATGGGGAAGCAGATTTTTCCTCTTTATCCTTAAAGTACATTTAAATTCGATTACTGGTTTTGTTTTATGTACTTTTTCTGACCAGAATTTTTTGTAATCGAACATTAATAATTTGTTTAAAGGTATGTTTGAATTGGTATCGTGTAAGCCAACAAGATTATGCATGGCGACGATTTCAATACAAGGACAAGATGTTTACAAGACGCAAGTATACATCACATGCAGGATGGCAGCATATGATTGATCACTGGAAATTGAGGTTAGCTGAAATCAGAAAATTTAACTAAGTTGAAACTCAGTGATAGCATATAAAGTGAATATAATTTCTTCATGTTGGATCAAATTAAGATCGTATCAACTTAAAATTTTTAAAAATTTTGAACCATTATTTACCAGGTATAAACGGCTGGTAATTTCTGAAGTGATATTGGAAGTAGTCTGAAGTTAATTTATTTATTAATTATTATAAATATTTTCTTTGTTTCTTTTTTTAAAGGTTTCTAATAATGAAAGCGACAACAAAATGGAAAGTATTGGAAATTGAACCGGTAACAATTCTTTTTAATTTATACGAATTCATTCGGGTTTTAACCAATTTTTCGGAATACTACGAGAGAAACTCGTTAGCAAAACCTCTCCAAGGAATACGATCATTTTCATTCAAATGGCAACTTCATGTGCATGTAAGGGGTGAAGGTCAAACTGAACGGGTAAATATCTCAGTGATGTTCTTTGCATTTACTTATTTATTTAATAGCAGTGATATAATTGAAAAAAAAAAAAAAAAAAAGAACTGTCTCTTTACTTTTAAGACTGCTATCAGAAGGTGAGAAAAAGAAATTGCATTTTCAGCATAAATTGTTACATTGCGGTTGCTTAAATTATTTATACTATCTGTTATGAGAACTATTCTTATTTATCCACAAATGTAATTACCTACAAAGTGGAAAATTTTTGATAAACAAATAAAATTTTGTAGGTGTTTGGAACAGGTGGTGAGATGTTGAAGACTTTGTCATTGTTATTATCATATTTGCATGGGCTAACTGAATTATCACTTCACGAACTTCAATTGGAACCATATGAATGCAATGATTTCATCGATGATGTACAGAAAATTATTATTGCATTTCCAAATTATTCTTGGACGAAATGTGAAATTGAAAAAATATATAATGGAACGACCTCTCTCATTATATGCAAATGATCTAATATGTATTACCATTTTAATTTAGTCAGAAACTTAGAGAAATTTGCAGAAAAAAGAAATGGTTAAGAGAATTGAGATGTTGAAAAATTCGAAGGACTTGCAACCAGCTATAATAAAAATGTTTCTAAAAAACATTTAAAATAATTTAAGGCTTAAATATTTGCAGATTCTGTATAAATTTGATTCACAACTCAAATCATTGTGCATTATAAATTTAACGAAAGTACGCAGGCCATTTCTGCAGCTTGGATTATTTCTATTCTTGGAACATTTAACTGTCTCCCCACAACATCTTAATGAGTCGATAGTGACACTTCTGGCTGACTTAAGACATCTTAAATCACTGATTATTTTACAGGTGATGTTAGTATTGATTATTACATTGATTGTTAACTTACAAAGTTTTTTTTCTTTAGAACGATAAAACATTTGGAGCGAAAGCTGTTGATTCAAAGGCATGGCTGTCTTTCGCAAAACGGAATAATCACACGAGAATTCATTTGATTCAGGCAGGTACATTTTTTTGTTCTCATAAGAACGACGGTCCAGTCACGTGAGTTAATTGAGTGCAATAAATCATTTGGAAAGCAGTTCACACTTATCTCTCTATTTCTGCTTCAGGAAAACGGCAAAATGCGCTGCTAATCCAGCCTAAGGCACCCGTCTATGCTATCATATTTGATAAATCTACTGGACAGCTTACCAATGAATTGACACAGGAGGTTATATAAGAAATATTACTATTACAAATATATTATTATAAGAATTAACTCTGTAGTAACCTTCTTCAATATTAATGATAGAAATATTTCCACAGATTGTCAAGAAGTTTAAGAAGGATTCAATGGATCAACTGTTTTGGAATAATCATTAATTTGCCAAACTTTCATATGTTTTATTAGCGGTATTTACATATTATGGTTAATTATTATTCAGATCTGCTGCAACTATTCTAGAACCTTGCAATTTTTTCTCCAGAAAGGCCTTGAACGTCGATATCGTTCTCGAGAATTCACGAAACGAGTTGATGTATTCGCTATTGAGCTTGCACATAGATGCTGTTCGTTTTCGAAAAACACATTTCATGAAAAAGTACTTTCTTTGCCACTTAGTTAGCAGTATACAATTATACTTTTTGCATAATCAGTATTTACTTACAGCTAATTTAAAACTGTTAGCAATACGAGAAAGGATGTGTTTTGCGAGCGCATTATTGCTCGCCCAAATTGCTCGATCACATCAGACGACGATTTGTTTGAGGCGCAATGCTTTGCTAAAGAGGGTTCGCTCGCTTATTCATTATTCATTTTTTAAAGAGTCGCGATATCAAAATTACTTCCTTCAAAAGCCTTTTGCCATCAATTTAAAATGTGTTTGATTCGAAAAATAAATAAAGTCGGAAACTACACCTTAAAAAATTTGAAATTTTATGTCTTTTTATAACCAAGTGTATTTATTGTCCTTGATTACTACGGTAATTAATTAATAATTAATTACCGTTATCATTATTGGCATTATTACAATCTAAAATCATATATTCACAGGTAAATTGGGCTGACGGCACAGTGAAAAGTATTCTGGGTTCAGAGAGTAATCAAAAATGGATCAAAGGTCACTGTAAAAATTTCGAAATACTCGAAAACACAATTCGGAATATAACGGGCACTACGGCTACGATCGTTACGGATAACCGATATATGTATAGTTTCTAAGTTTCCCCTGTTTCTTGTCGGTATAAAAATTTATAAACAGATTCAGTGCTACAGTAACAAACAATCTTCAATGATTTCTCTTCATTATAATTTCGGTTCTCGTAGTGTAACCCATAACTTATTGGATCTAAATAAAGGTGCGCAGTTGGAACAATATTATTATTTTGCATTTAGGAGGACGTAATATTCCTAGAAATGTGGAAGTAGCAATTGTGAATGCAATGTAAAGTAGTAATCGTGCTTTTAGCATTAATAAAGTTAAAGGCAGGGAAGAGAAAAAAGAAAATCGATCAATTTTTTGTTTCATCTACTGCCAAAGTTCAGATGAAATGAATAGAGTCTTTCAGCTGCATATTAATTTGCATATGCAATGCCATAAAAATACAAAAGTGTTTCATTTCGATCATTTTTTTTTATATTTTTATCAGAACTGTGATGATTTATATTGCAAATGTGTGCGATTTTTCGATGACATTTTTAATAAGCATTTTAATGATAGGTCTGCCAATAATACCTGTCCTTATTTTGTGTCAGTTTAAAAAGATGGAGAAAAAGAAGAAGACTGTGCTTTCTGTATCACGTTTTCCTGCAATTGAAAATAGTGACTCAGATAGAAAAGTAAGATTCAGGATTTCCAGGATTTTTGATTGAACCGGAAACTAAAAGCTCTCATGATATCGTTGCAATTTTTTTTAGTCATTTAAATTACCACACGGTAAGCTGTGAACAGATATTTGTTATACGATTCTTTATTCTGCTAACGGATCGGCACTCATCCGAAATATACTTTTTATTTCATTTCATCTAAATTTAAATTTTATTACGGAAAACCTTCCACAGACTTAAATATTGAAATCAGAATAACCGGAACAACTTGCAGCAAACTGCTGAGGACACAACACATTTAATGGAAAAGAAAGAGCCTGAAAAACAAAACAAGGTGTACATATTTATCTGAGAATTAATTTTCTGGCTTTCATCTGAGTAATTTCGTCTCATCCGAACTCAAAATTCTCTCCTTATCAACAGCCGGAGAAAAGAACAAATCCAAAGAGCTTTTTCTGACTGTAATATAATACTCGGGAAGTTTGCAAGAACAGGTGCTTCCAATTTCAGGTAGTGAATCAGATTAATGCGTCAGTTGCGGGAAAATTTAAATCTGTCGAAGTAATGCACAGAACTGGAACACCAATGTGGGTCAAGACAAATCATGACATTGAGCATGTTGCCGATGGTAGTTTACAAACGCAGAAGTGCAAAGACCGAGGGTAAGTGCAATTGTTTGACAATCAGCTCTTTGCATATTCGAGAAATACAACACTTGAAGATTACCAATTTCGTAATTTCATAGCTCTACAGTGCCTCTCTGATAGTTTTAAAATCGAATATCTAAGAATTACTTTGAAAATTCTGGAGTCATTAAACTTTTAAATACTTAAAATGATTTTATCCCTATAGAATGTCATTTAAGAAGAAATTATCAAATTATTGGTGATTTGGATACCACCGATTCATCATGTGAATATTCATTAGAGAATACGCTAGCTATGGAATCACTCGAAATGATTAGTTTGTATCTTTAATGAGAAACATTAGTAAGCAAAATATTAAGACGACGAAATTAGCGAATGGGAAATTAAGCTAAGTTTCGAATTTACTACTATTGTTAACTGTAAAGCATATGAACTAGGATGTAGCTTAATTAAAGATAAATGACATCAGATTACACTTTCAATGATATTGTAATTGCAGAAGGAAAATATGGCGTGAAACTGGAAGGTGAGGAGATCGATCATCAATTGGGAAAAGCACCGCAACAAAGTTAGATGTATTTTTTTTTTTTTCGGCATAGCGTTTTATCGCTTAGGTATAGTGTTTCGAACAAAGTAAATCCAATTTGAACTGATCGAATACACTGCATCAGATTCGTTATGGAACTAAATGCACTGATGCGCTATGACAGTAGAGAAATAAACTAGACGACCAAATTAACAACGTTGATTTCTTTTGAGGTGATTCATCAGACTATTCATTATTTGATTCGCAGTCATCAAGGAGGGACATTCGTGAACAACGATTTCGATTACTCAAATTAAATACATCGATAGCCCGACGAGCAGCTGTTGCGTTAGAAGACAGTGCGTTTTCTACATCTACTCGGAATAAAAAAGAAACGCCTGCAGCTGAAAGGGTTAATTTTAAATTCCAGCACATCTCGAAATCTTCGATATCCCCATACACCAGCGCGCATTTTTTCGAGTTGTTTCAAGGCGAAAAGGTAGAGCTTACAAGTTGGCATTTAAAATATACAAACTATTCATCTGGAAGTTCAAGTCATAAAGGGATGAAAACAGTACTCAACGTAAAACGGCACGCAATAGTTACTGCTTGCAGAATGAACAAGCAATTCAAGTCGAAGAAACTGAAGATAAATTAATAGCACATACTTGACTTACGTTTGGATTTTTGTTCGTGATGTTAATTTGTGATTATTCTGATAGAGTAAATTTTGATCAATTATTCTACCAACCAAATGTTTTAAATTACAGAAACGATTTAAGGCTTTAAAAATAAATATTAATACAGGAACCTGTTATACCCACTGCACTGGAAGAAAAGAAGAAATTCAGATTATAAAGCACTAGTTCTACAATTTCCGGACTCGTCTGTCTAGAAATTAAAAACCAAATCAATAATCGTTAAACAAAATATTGCCAGAAAATTTTTCTTTTGAAAGGTTATGTATGCTCATATAATCACTAGTAAGACAAATGGGAAAATAAACCAATAGTTTTTATACCTAATTTAGAAATATATATATTTTATCGCTAAATTCTCAGATCTTGAAAAATACTAGTCGAAACACAGCAAAGAAACACCACAAACATTTATTCTTTCTTCAATGATAAACACTTCAAATTCTGATGAGATCGATCTCGGTCACTAATAATCAATTTGTAAGAATTACTAATGTGCCAATCAATGGCTAATTCTGGGTCAAACGGGTTTACACCAAATTCCACTTGCTCATTGTATATCGCTGTACATTTATATGTTACATGTGCTCCTTCTTCTGATAAAACCTGAAATTCAAGTCTAAGATGGAACAGTAAAGATGTGAAAACAATATAAAGTATATCACATTAATTGCGATCAGTTCTGCTTTTAAACAACCAATTACAAACAATAAATGGAGAACTTAAAGCGTAACTTAAAAAGTTTAAGAACATACTGGTATGGGATTATCTGAGTATGCATTCTCTAAAATTCTAAATACAGAATCTAAAAAGAAAAGGCTTACATAAAATCCATGCAAAAAACCATCTGGTATCCAAAAACCTGTCCGCGTCTTTTCATCGAGAACAACACCGTACCATTTTCCAAAAGTTTTCGACATTGATCTTATATCAACAGCAACATCATATATTTCACCACTTATAACCGATACTAATTTACCCATTCCTGGCTGTGCATGTAAGCCACGTAAAACGCCACATTTTGAATAGGAATGATTATCCTTAAATGTAAGAGACAAAAGTTGTAGTTAACCGATAAGACCTGAAAATCCGGCTGTAAGCATCATATCGTCGATCAGCTATTACCATTATTTTGAAATGTTCAAGACAAAACTAAATACTTGGAGAGTTAACAAATAATGAATCTACCTGCTTGAATTTCTCGGAAAACCCTAAAGCACCTAATTCATACTCATTGTATGACTCTACGAAGTAACCGCGAGTATCCGGAAAAAGTTTCGGTCGAATAAGTTTTAGTCCATCAATTTGTTCGATATGTTCAATCTCTAATTCTGTTCTGAGCATTTTACTGAAACTCACTAAATTATGAAACAAGCTTGAATCTAGCAGGTCTATTAAAAATGATAAACAAGAATGTCAAATTTATCATCAATAATGTACCCCTGAAGCGATTGAAAAAGAATTCTTAGCCCTATAGAATGAGTCCGTCACAACTGCTTCATTTCATATGACAATAGACTTCTCCTAATTCTTACTTTCAACTTTGTGCATCATTTTATGCGGCTCATCACCGTGCTTCAGAAATTATTCCCACCACAATTTAGACAAGCCTTTCTGAACATCGAAACGGGTACAATTAAACGAGTTCCAACGAGGAATGACAGCAGATAGAGGTATGCAAGACGTTAATTTCGACTCCTTTTTGCTGACAAAAATAAATAATGTAGCCATAATGCAATGGTAAGTACTGAATTTATTCACTACACGTCACTAAACATTTATTCACTACAAATACTTTGAGTGCATCTTTCAGTATTTATACAAAGCATATCAATATATATAACTGCTAAAGATTATAACTCGTAACCGTAACTCTAAGACAAGAATTTTTCAACAGTTTGGGTTAATTTCGTACAGTGCGTAGAACTGAAAATAAATTTCGGCCGATTAGATCTCCACTGCATTTCTTCCGCCATTTGCATATACCCAATCTTTGCTCAAGCATTTATAAAGGCTGTAAGTATATTTGAAAAACAAGGCGCAATTAATAGAAGCAAACAATATTAAGCAAACATCAAATTAGATACAGTTAACATTGATCCATACTTAACGATCTCTTAAATTCCAAGTTCTATTAAAGACATTTTTTAAACTGATCTGTAGTCACTAAACAAAGAAAAACAGTTTAAAAACAGAAAAAACAATATAGTTAATGTACATGATTAATCTATTGTTTTTAAAGAAAACTGAAAAAATACTGTATAGAAAACTCTTAATAAACAAATTAAACTCTCACCTATTTTGCCTTCCCAGCATCTAATTTAAGTATGATGCAAACATCAAACTATTAAGTGAAAATTTCAACCACCACTTATTATTACGAAATTCTGTGTTCAAACAATAGTGATTTGAGTTATAAAAAAGTAGAGAAAGGAAGAAAAAAAGCAAACAAATTTGGACGAAATTTCCGTTGCCTAAATGCATGCGTTTGTTAAACGCCAATATGACTAACCAATTGCGAACTGGCAGAGATGTTAATTGACAATCGACCATATAGTAATGTATTACAACATGATATCAGCTCCCATCCTATTATTTCTCACCTAAACAAATGAAGATCAAGACATTACAAAATATCTAATCACGAAATTTTATGTCCATCTGTGTTTTGAGGATTAAATTCAGTAATGAATAATGAGAATCTTCAGAAGAAACATGAAACATCGTAGATAACTTCAGGGAAAATGGTTAAAAACTCAATTAAACACAAATAAATTTATAAAAAGTGTCAGATTAAGAAATGGTAGTTGAATAGATTTACGCCAACAAATGGTAAATTAGATTTCGACTGTTGTTCATATTCACTGGACTGGAGAGGTAGAAACAATATATCTGCTGAGAAATGCACGTTATATGAACTTCAACAATTTAAAATTTGCTAATGTTAATATAAAATGAATATTAATATTAAGTGATATTAATATAAAATGAATATAACTTCATAATAATAAACTAGTTTTGTACAAAAAATAAAAGTAATTAACTAATTTTTGCGGGAGCACCCAAAAAGTTTAAAAAGATAAAAGGCAAAATTTTTTGCAAAACTGACTTCCCACAAATTTACTTTCACTATTTCGAAAGGAGTTATTCCGATTCAAAACTTTTGCCAGTTATGCAGTTAAATCTTTCTTCAAAGATGCTTGCTTGGGCGAAGCACGTCTTTCTAATAACTTCTTATCATCTTCACGTTTTTTATATTCTATAATGCAAGCAGGTATACCCTTCACGGTAACTATATGTTTTTTTGCTGAGGATCTGACGATCAATGAATCACGCAATGATATTACCTGAAAAGAAAAAGATGCTTTTCAAAACCGAAAGAGGGTACAGAAGACATATTGTCTGAACATTAATTTAGACTCAAATTAAATATAACTCTCAACAATCTTTACGTGACTCTAAAGTCTACTTCTTATGCACACTAAAAATCATTCTTCATGGCCAAAATCAACGAAAAAATAATAAACAACTATTAAAAAGTCAAAAAATTAAAATTGAAACATACACGCTTATTGTTCGCTCTAGAAATGACTGTAGACTTTGTAACACCAGAACCGGATGAAGTGCTTTCCGGAGAATGCCTGGAAGTGCTTGGTGAGTCAGCTGTTGGTCGTCCAACCCTTCTTCTGTAATTTGAGGACTAGAAGTCAGACATGGAATTTACAAGAATTCCTCTTCAAAACTACCATGTTTCGCTCCAGCTATGACTGTCTTGACATCTAGATATCAAAGCTGCAGTTTCAGTAACCGACAATTCACACTTTTTTTTTGTTTCTAGAAATGTATTCAAACTAGCAATAAATGGACTTTGGTTTCTCCGCAAGACTCTGCTGAACAACAAAATTCTGCACAACTGTATGATGCTGCACAACATTTTGATTCAAACGTGGCTTTCTTGTCGATGTCCCCTTTCTGAAAAAGGAATTTTAATTAAGAGTTTGCCTTCGAAAATACTGAAGGCTTGAAATCAATGAATGCCAATAAGTTTAGCATAATTCACAATTTCGAGGTTGAAACAGAGATAAACTGTCTTCCTTGAAATATTATATACAATGAGCCTTCCAATATGCGATGAGAAGCAGATAAACATTTACAATGTGAAATCACTGAAAACTTTAACCCAATGTCTGTTCGAATAAATTATTAACCTTGTATCGCACATTTCGCATTTGAACGCTTCATGTCGATTTCGGAACGTACATACAGTGCATTCCCAACTTCCTGGCTCGAACCCTTCCTCTTCTGCTTTCGAGCGATTGCGTTTCTTAGTAGACATATGCTTAGTTACTCTCAAGAGGTCTCGTCATTTCAGCTATAAAATTTTAAAACTGAGAAGAAAAGCCGAAGTAACCACTGAAATTCTCACCAGATTTGCAGATATCGTCATTTAGCGCAATACGAATCCTCACTTCAACCGCTGATGGAGTAAAAAAATATAGTAAAGAAAAACATTTTATTTTTCAGTAAAGAACACACATGTTTTTTTTTCTCAGTGACAACTTCTTGACTATTGTTATCAAATAATGGATTACAGTTAATAACTTGGATTAGTTAATAACTTTTCAACTTTGCTGACAACAGCCTTCTCATCGACAACCTTTCATGTCTAACAACTTTACTCTCAAAACATGAATAATGAGAATAGTTCAAGACCATTCTTCCTTTCAGCCTCTAACTTACAAACCCCCCCAACATCTACCTCTCAACATCTATCATGCTCCAACCTCCGCACTTATCCAAAAAAAGGAAGCAAATACAAAATCTGAGTTCTTGGTTAACACTTGACGAACCAACGCACTTTTGACGTCCTCTTTGTGCAAAACGATCAATTCACTTTCATTTATTTCCATAGCAATCCCGGAATTTTGGTGGGTGTGTTTATACCTTAACCGTTTATATGCCTAACCCTTTGTTTCCAAAGCTACTTCAGCAAGGCGAGCAAAATTGAAATCTGAAACCTCGAACTTAAACCTCGATCTAACCGATGTTGGTTGGATGATAAATTGATAAGCATAACAAGTAGCTTTCGACAATTAATCCCATGTGTCGCAAATTCCTAATATTGCGAAACTCTAAAATATTATTTAAAAAAAAAGTGTCGGATGACCCTTTTGCACATTGTTTCCAATGTGATGTTTATATCTGACATTAAATTGATATTATTATTTTATAACGACCTTTGAAGCCTAACAAAGAATTCACCACGACCACTCCCACTTTAACATTATATATACATGTCATGGAAACACACGAGACAGTTTAACTTATGAAAGGGATTTTCACTAACTTGTACTTCGATTCTTCTTTATGAAATTTATTATACTGTTGTTTCTATTGACAAAGGAATTATTATTCTTACGTTACCCCACACTATCAACATCAAACGAATCTCACTGAGATCAGGAAAGCTTTCCGAAAGAAAATCAATTGGCCCTTATCAAAATTCGACAAACCAATAAAATCAGCTACATTACGATTGTCCCCCTTCCTCCCTCTCTCTCCCCCTCCCCCGCCCTCTTGATATTCGTATGCAACTGTCTTGATAATTTTGAATAAACCAAGTTTTATTCAAACCTTTTCTGATGGATGTGCTATTAATTTTCTATCGAAAATACCGTCTTACGCTACTAATGTTACTTTTGGATAAAAGTTTACCAGTGAGAAATTTCAACAACAACTTCGATAATCTAAAAATTAAGCGATAGCAATCACTATTGGCTTCCTTTCCTCTTTTTATCTACTGTCCCGCAAATGGAGAGAGTAAAAATGTATATATTGGTTCGCTTTTAAGACCTAAAAAACCGGTTTCAAAACAAACATAAAAATAGTTTTTTCGGGACAACTAACTACAATGACAACACGAAGAGAGCATCAGGTTTAAATTATTCTTTTTCTTGCTTTGTTCTTTGTTCTTTAGAAAAATTGAAATAATTCCGAATACTAAGTGCACGGTGAGCAATTCCTTTATTATAGATGACAAATTATATTGCTTGCTGTCACCTTCAGAAATGAGTAAGAGTAAGTTATCGATTTATCACTCACATCTTTTTCTTTTTTGACCTCACATCCCTTTTTCAGTTTTCACTGGTCAGTTCATCATATAGCAAGCTAAAACGTCTGTTAGTGACCCTATCATTGCTGCTTACCAAATATCGTAGCATTTTTCTCGAACTTTTTTCTCCTAAGTTCAATTCATCTTGTTGTAAGTTCCTATGGACTGTTCGAAAATCATTGTGATCCTTGTTTCATTTGAATCGACCAGATGTTGTTTTCGACTTGCTATTTAGTTCAGTGAATCTAATTATTTCAAAAATTGTTCAAGCAATTGAAATACTTTTAGTTTTCATCGTTTACTCACGGATAGTCTGCCTGTCTTATTTGCGAACTGCATAAAAATGTTGAGAACTAGTTAATTGTCAATTTCACTTTCTAAATTTTGAACTTAGCTATCATTCATCCGACACAAAATTAGCAAAATAATATAAGGGAGATGTATTTATGATGGGAAGTGATTCTAAAATTGAAGCAATTGTAAAATTTCTTTCTGAGTGCTTTCTTCGATGTTCTCACATTATCATTTGTAAATGACATATATGACAAATATTAGAGACAAAATGTTAAGACAGTGTTAGAGTTATTAGTGCCACAGAAAAGAAAGAGTAGGATTTGATATTGTTTGAGGAAAACATAAACTATGAGATGATGGGAAATCATTCTGATTCTTGGCTTCTATCTATAAGTTTGAATCATATGTAGAAATGGAAATCCAGTTGAAATTTGCCTTGCCCTTCCCTTTGCGTACACAATAAACCACTCCAAACTGTATACCTGTTTGTCATAAGCATTTGGAATATAAATGTATACAAAGATATGCAATCATACACAAACAAACAGATAGGCAAACTCCCAAATTTGTTTTTGAAGGCTTCCGACGTCAGCGTCTTCCTTTTTAACTGTAGAATTTCTCTATTCAACAAAAAGATGTCTTGCATTGATTGAGGCAAACTTTTTTTAGATCAGGTAATGAATGCAAGAATCTATTAGCTTAGTTGTGAATTTATTCCTTGAAATTATCATACTGGTATTTAGTACTATTATGGTCTATAGTTTATTGAAGTGTAAATAGATTTGATGCAAAATTCATTTCTGCAAAATCCTCAATTAACTTTCTTCCAGATCAAAAGTCAGAATTTATGACTCGAGGATTTGTGATATAGATGTTTTCATGTGAGTTGCGAATTGCTAATATTGAAGCCTTTTCATGACTCTTCACTCAGTAACAACACTTTTATAAGTCTGTGTTTAAATTAAAATGAATTTTCTTATTCGTATTATTTTTACAGTTCAGACTTAGTACCATTTATCCGTGGTTGAAAGCATTGTAGTAATGCGATCAGAGGGGCAAGGCATGTAGTAATCTGAATTTTCCCACTACTGCTTCTATCCTAGCACTATCGTCGGATATTAGAAATCATACAATTTTGATGTAAACTTATAATTGACTATTTAGTTTTGAAGTGTCCTGCTGAAGTGATGTTGAAGTAAACTGCCTCAGTCATAGTTGAATACAACTCTTTCCCTCAGTCATAGTTGAATACAACTATGACTGAGGGAAAGAGGGAAAACCCCGAATAGATAGAGAAGGGTATTGACGGCATAGCATTATTAAATCTGGTTTATTTTGGGGGATGAATTGAACCGATGAGAAGGGAGATGCTTCTGGAAAAGTATGAATTGAATTGGAAACCAGTTTTTGTGATTTTGAAAACGAAATGAAATCGAGTTAAAGTGATGACTGGATGCAGTTTCGAAAGTTTTAAGCCTGAATAAGCGAGTAATTGTGTTAAGGGAAGGCTAGGGGAGAAGTGATGTCAGTAAAGGTGAAAAACTTGGATCAATTTAGTAAAACTGCAATGGCACTGCAGTGCAGTGAAGCGAGATGAAACAGTAGCAGTGCGGTAAAGTGATACGACGGTGTAGTATCTATACTACTACTTCTAGTAGTAGTAGTAGTAGTAGTGGTAAAGCAGCTGGTATGACCAGTTTTTCAGGCACTTAGACATGCAGAGACCGATGAATTTTATTTTGTATGTGAAAATCTATCTATCCTCAACCTCAAAATTTCCATTCCTTTTCAACTGTTTTCAACCTCGTCGCAAATTGCTGTCATCGCATCCTTCTAGTATGGTTGATTTAGGTAGCGTTGTTGCTAAACTGCGGTAAAGCGGTGTGTTCAAACTTCAGAAAGTTCCAGTTGATTCTACCATAACAAAACTATAAAATTTCGTGCAATTTCAGTCAATTGTTAAAGGAGCACCATATGCTTGTGAAACAATATTTATTCGTCAGTAAGGACTACAGAAAAATTTCCTCTTTGTAAATCAAAATTTTTTGAAGCGACCAGTTGCATTTGGTGAAAAGCTGCAACGAAGTTTCAAGAACAGATACATTTATTTAGCAACATATTGCTAAAATTGCTGAATCTGAATTCAATTTTTTTTCCCGTTCCATGGACAACGACTCCAAAGCAATTTTGAATGGAATTAATTTGCGATTGAATGACATTGACTTGAAACTATCATTTGTTCTGGAACTGCTTACAAATCGTCTACCCGAGAAATCATCAAAAGAGAAGTTGACAACACTACAGTTTTTGCATCCTCAGTCATGTGAAACGACGAGCGATCGCAGAAGTGGTAGCTTCATGGGATCAAAAGAACAGGGACAACCAACGGAACGGATACCGGCATTCCCAGTTGAAGATGAAGTTGGTGAAATAGCCTTAGGCAATACAGTTCCTTTTTTGCAACTGGACAGCAACAAAAATTCTGTCCAACAGCAGCAAGATGACATATTACCCGAGTCGTCGTCTCTTTCTGCCAAAGGGCGATCAACCACAATATCAACTGGTATTATAACAACTAACGACAGTGAAGGTGACGAAGAAGAAGTTGATGATTACGATGATGAACTGGATGAGGTAATCTGATCATTTGTACTTACTTGATTGCTGAAACTACAGTAAACTAAGAATTTCGAAAAACGAAAAGTTCTAATCCATTATCATTGTGTGAAGAAATTCTCTTTCATAATATCCAAATTGTGCCAGCTTAAGAAGTTAAGTAAGGTTCCAAATATACTACTGTTATATTGCAAAATTTTTGCTGAATTTTCATGGCAAAGTATTTCTAAACATTATATTTCAAAGTGAACCTGAAACTAATCCCAAATTCTTATTTTTACATTTTGTTTTTAACATGTCATATTACTTCCCACTTTTCCTTTCATAATTTTGTAATAAGAATTAAAATGGAAGAGGAACGGTTTGAGAAATTAAAATGAAAACAACAGTTTCAAGATTTTAGCCTGTCATTATATTATAAGGAGTACAGAAATGCAGTAAAGTTGAAACTTTGATGAATTCAGTTTCTGTGAGGTTGATTTCCATCCATTAGAATATATCATAATTAAAAATACAGGATGTTTCAACAGCAAACCAAAATCGTGAGGTAAAAATAATTCATGCAGAAAGTAATTTTCCTGAAGGAGCTGTACGGCGAGCTGCTGAAAAGGCGGCACGAAGTTTTCAAAGCACTCAACCAAAGGTGAGTCAGGGTTTTTCTCCCCGACGTATTTATTTATATTTCCAATTTTACTAATGATATTAATATTAATATTACTTATACAATTCATCACTGTGTCTATTTTCACTCTGAAATAATAAAGGAAGAGCAATTATTTGCTACCAATTTTATCAATAGAATAGCGAGAAATGTAACCTTTTTGCATATTGCAAACTGAATTGGATTTCCTGAAAGGATTTAATTCCAATTATTCTTTAATGAAAATTCCATTATTCCTTTCACTTCTCTATTTTTGATTTTGCCTTATAGCATCTTTCATTCGTTCATTTTTCTACTCTTAATTTAACTTCTGCTGTTGACACTCTTTTTCAACCGTTCCGGATGTCACTCTTTCTAATTTATGTTGCTTTTATCATATTCACTCAAAAAATGAAGCTAAATAATAAAAACTTTTGTTTTTCCCACAATTTATTTTATTTTATCTGGAAATTTTGCACATTTGCGTGTATCGATATTTTGTTTCTGTATTTTACTGCTATTCCCCTGCTCACATTTTTTTTTTCGAGTGTAATAGATGAATAAGGAAAAAAGTGCGAGAATGAGAAAAAGAAAAAAAAAGTTAATTTTGGGGAAATATTTTTCACTTTTAAATATTGAATTATATGGAAAGAAAAGTAAATGATCCACAGAATTCTATTAGCCAGGTCCTTTTACTATTCATCATCCTTTTTTCCTTGAATGAACAGATTATATTAGCTATTACAGCTTCTTTATTAATTAAACTTAAAATAATTTCAATGTTCACCCATCACCACTGTAGTTATTCTGTATTTATTTTTCTTCCTTACTGCTAGCACATTAACCAATAATAGCAGATATTATCAGTTGTTCAGTTGATCTTCCAATCAATTACTATTTTAATATGGTTGAAATAAGGATATTTTAATATAGAAGTGGATTCGCTTAGAAATGAGCCAATTTCACGAGAGAGATTGAGAGACAAGAGAGGAATAGAATAAAAGAATTATTTCGAATTATGAAACTGTTGATTATTACTGGCAAGTACTGGCAATTTTAATCATTTTATCTTCGCTAACAAATGTTGTTTAGGTTTTTGCATGGCAAATATTACGTGAATCAGTTACCGACCAGGAACTTCGAAATGTGCATATCTCCTTAAGAACATTTCATGGTGAAACTGCAGATCATCTCTTATCTCGGCAATTACCAAAGGTTTAATAATTTTAATGTAAGATGAATGGCTGGAGAAATAGACTAAAAAAAAAAAAAAAATCATAAATCATGAAAAGAAAGAAGTATACAATAAGCACAAAAGATAATTTCAAGTCTTTTAAGAAGGGTTTTTTCTTATTCTTCACTTTGTATTTCTCATTCTTTACTTCATTTTTAGTTATTTGTTTCTGTCAAAGTCATTTTGCACTTCTTTCCAATCTTGAAAGAGAAATTTGTTATAATGGATCAGCTTCTTAGCAATGTTTCATTTATTTCTATTACTTTATCTTTGTTCCCTTTTGCAGTTATAGTATTAGCATGCTTAATATCTTTCAACTTAATCTGATTACTTCAGACAACAGTACATCACTGATATTAATAGATTAATTATATTCCATTGTTGAATATACTTACACAGATAGTATTACAGATACGCCTGGTAGTAGAAGCAACAATGTCCTATTTCAAGTGGGATCAATTAAGTGATGAAAATCAGTTAACTAAAGCTAAGCTGTTACTGAGTCATCTAAAAAATAACGCCAAAGTGCGAAATTGGACTCTTAGAGAAGGACGTCCAAATCGGTAGGTTTAAGTGCTTCGACAAAAAGGATGAGTTCTGCATAATTAAAACATACAGATTTAATATATTGCAACAGCAATTTTCACGTAATCTAGTCTATTATTTCGTGACACCTCCAACTCCAAAAAATAATTTTTTCATTATTAGTACCTCTTTCTGTGATTAAACAAGTGCAACAGGTGCGTCTTAAAAGTACCACTCTTTCAACTCATCATGACTCGACAAGTTTGAACTCCAAATATAGATAAAACTTTAAGAGTTTTTTTACAGGATATCGAATACGATGGATGCAGTATGGAAACGTTACGCAGCTTTCCTCGGACAAACCAGTCTTGCTACGGTTGGTTTATTACCAAGTCATATAAGTCAGCTCAATCGATAAATTCAACGAACAGTTCGATAGCCTACCTCATGAACTCTTTTGTTTCACTTCTTTACTGTCTATCATTGTGTATGTATGCATTCCTTCCATTGCAAGTATAACCTTTGAATAAAATTAAACGAACCACCCTAGTAGTGAATTTTGGTTTATCATATTACATGCAGCACAAAAATCAAGGTTCGTACCCAGCTATTCCAGCTCGACCAAAACAGTACTCGAATATACACTCTTTTATAATTCAACCCATCCCCATCACTGACTCCTTTTATATCATTACCAAAACTCAATATCGTGGCTATAGCCAGAATAGACATTTACTGGTCATTTTTGAACTCCATGTCCATTTTCGAACTAACACAAATTTTGATCTCAGTTAAGAAATGTTTCAAAATACTGTGAGAATCTCAAGTGTCTCCGCTCCATCCCATCAGTTCAAAAGGCCTCCCAAGAACCGCTGCATGTATGTATTCTCAATAATGACGCCACTAAACGATGTACTTGTCGTACGTGCAACTCAATGAGTATCCACGTCATTACTTCCCAAACATTTTTTAAATTCAGTGTTTCACAAACGAACCAGTCAAAAATCATTATACATGCAGTGCGACAGAGGAGAAAAAAGCATTGGGCATTACAAGGCAAAAATATAAGAGGAAAAATGGAAAATGAAGCGAGATAGTTCAATAACAAATAAAAAAAAAAAAAAAATGGGACAACCATATAAATATTCATGGACTGGTTTCATATTTTCAACAGAAAGCAATTGCCACACACACAAACAATAGCAACATGTAGACCAATAAAAGAACAAGTACATATTTATTATAAAAAGGCATAACTCTGATACCGCAAACGAACTGATGGAAATGAGTAATGAATTGCACAAAGCATTTTTTTTCCTCTCACAAACCATATTGTACTGAATTTCCGTAAGTGTCAACGTAAAAAGTGTATTAAGTGTTCTCCACAGATCTACAATTTCTCCAACTTCATAGTGAGTAACACCTAGGGAGGACCATGCATAAATTGAAATGCTAAGTTTCATCACAAAATTTACCAACTGCATGATTCATTCGTTCGCGAAACATTTTAGGTTTATGCAAACGGATATTATAATTCCAGACCACTATAATTCTAGATTATCAGAAATTTCCATACAATCACGTTCTGTGCGTTTTAATACTCGTTTTTTACACAGATATTCCTGAAATGGATTTAAGCCGAAATTCGAATGGTAGTAATAACCTAAAAAATTTCTATATTCCAGAAAGCACCAACCGCCAAGTGGTTGAGAAAAATGAACTTATTTCAATTCTTTTTATCTCTCTATTAATACTTCGCATCCGCAACATCTGAAACACCTAGTCATACTCCACAACTAACATGAAAGATTACTATGGTAAGAATATAAAAACAATACCTCAAGTAGTGGTCTATTCCTGATATTATACCACTGTTCGAGATCATTTTCATAACGCTCTAGTAATGTCTCACAGTTCTGTTTTAACGTTACGATTTCAACTGATGGAGTATCCCACATTTCGTAAGGTATACCTAATTCTACCTGCAATAAACAACTACTAATGTCAACCTTATATACTTTAAAAAGGATTTTCAATGTCACAGATTTGAAGACTGAGTTTCATTTACAACCAAAAGTAGCAGCGCAAACTCTAAAACCACTCCAAAAATTCGTAGTTGAACCTACTGAGATTTCATAAAAATCAATATCTAGAGGTAAAATTCTTCAAAATAAAACATATGATACGTAAGCTTTTGAAGCATTGAAAATGAGCAAACCTTAACTCCTTTACTTCTTAGCTCATTCAGAGCTTTCATTGTATTACTTTCCTCCTTGGCAAAACGTGAAATGTCTGACTTCTCTTTATGCAGTTTATATTGCAGCATTCGCTCACAAGTTTCCTCCAAAGCTTCCACAAACTTAAACTCTTTTTCTACGGCCGAAATCTATAAAACCTTATATCTCCATCAATCTCCTACTCAGAAAATGCATCAAAAATTGAAAAATTAACGTTATGTGTTCCTTTCAAAGAGATTAATAACATCAGGTGAATAGGCACAGCAATCAGCATCAACAAAAGTGGCCGTCTTAATTTATTTTTTATCATCTTTATTTATCTAAAAAAAATTTACCTTATAATAATGTTCCAAACCTACCTTAACAGCTCTATCATTTCCTAACTGTTCCTGAAACTCTCGTGCAAATAAAACACATGATTCGCAAGTCGACGGAAGATCGACCGCTGGCTCAGCAACAGTTACAAAAGACTTCGAATATACAATTGATAAAGCAAAAAATAAAGCAATTAAATTAGGAAGATGTCGTTGAAGTTTTTTGCCGTTGTTGTGGATGCTGCTGCTTCCATTCCTGTCCGTCATCATCGTGTTCCGTTGTATACACCTATAAAGGAATTTTGATTTATGCAGAAAGCTATCAAAAGATCTATTACTTTATAATACTCATTTCGAAACAACAAAGCTAACATGCAATCGTTGGCGTTTACGAGTATAATATTGCCATTGCAGCAACTGTTGTTCTTCAATAAATTTTGCATTTGCTGTACAAGTTATTGCCTCACGAAAAGCTGAGCTCTGTACCGCTTCAAGGAAATGTAAGCACTGCGGATATTTCAAAGCTCTAGAAAAACCAAAAAAAAAAAAAAAATCATTGGAAAAAGAACTGAAATCACTGCATAAAGTAATGCAGAACATTTAAATATTTTATTTAATGAAAAAACACTTGAAAATACTAGGTGTCAATAAATCTAACCTCGCGTATTCTGGTCTTTTCCAGTACAAAAGGTATTTCAAATAATTGATGAAGTATGGCTCCTTAAAATAACCTCGCTGCGCTAAAACTAAAATTACTTCGGTTCAAATCTATTGAAATTGAGATTTAGTTCAATTAATATCAATATTAAATACGAGTAAGCAAAAAACCGAGAGGAAATATACAACAAATTCAATTACTTCATTAAAGGAAAAACTAACTAGAACAATAAAACGTACAATTCAAGTAATGAGGATTAGCTAAAGCCTGTACAAATTCACATTCAATTTCGAACCGCTTCTTTTGTTCCTCAGATGTTTCGGGACCCGAAACCGAGTTTAAACCGGAACCTTCAATGCTATAATTCTTATAAGGTAAAATTGAATTACTGTTTTACTGACAATAAACTTCCACAATTTGATCATGCATATAAGCAAACTCACTTCGCAAAAGATCCAGACTGCTTACTCGTTCGAAATTTCTGAAACAGCTAATAATTTTTTTTCTTTTTCAAATACAAGACCATAGACCACTATATTCATGCAAAACTTATACACTTAGCGGTTAAAGTAGTTTGCATTTCAAATGTTCCCATTTAATTTTAAATTATCTTCCCAAAAGAGTCGAAATAATGCTATACCAGAGAGAAAAACAAAATTCAGACTCTCTTTTTCTATCATACCTCATCCCATCTACTTTTGGTGAGTCTGAATTATCCTATATATAGACTTCGAACAAGTGTTCAGTTGTACTGTTCGGAAAAACACTTCATAATATGAAATTTGCATAATAAAAAATGTATGGAAAGAAAGCTTCAAAAGAAGACAGGACTGAAAGCTTCAAAACGAAAGAAACTGAGCGAAATAACAAAAAATAGTTTATTACTCAAAAATTAGAAAAAAAAAGATGATACTGATCATGAAGTCAGGACTGCTTTTTAACAAAGTAACGAAGAGGGAAAAAAATCCTTCTCAACACTATCAAATCTTCCTTCAATTCAAATTACCACTTTTCTTTTCAGGACATATTTTTTAAAGGTATTCAATAATACCAAAGCTAAGAATTGCACCCAGTTATCAGACTAAAGATGTGAGATTTAAATAGAGCTAGTTTAAAGGAAATCGATAGAACCTGAATGCTTATTAGGAAACGAGAAAATCTAGATGATCTCTCAAGTTGTTTCTTGAATTAAAAAAATCTTTTTATAAGCAATTTCATCCTTATTCAGTGCTTTAGTATATTTCAATCAATCAAATTGCATTAATAGTTACAACTTATTCTCATCGTTTCTTTCCTACAATAAGCAAATTTTCAGGAGAAACAGTCCTTTTTACATATCTACACAAGGAAACATCATAGCCAAACTTCCGAAGTTCTACGACTCGACCAAATTCCAAAACCGCTTTAGCTTTCTGTCCAAGAAGTTCTTTCTCCGCTGAATTCAGCAACATGAATTCCAACTTTGCTTTCTGTTGACCCAAATTTTCGAACTTTGGTGAATGAGATGAAACAGAAACAGTAGCATCAAGATTCTCCTAAAGTCAATAAAGGCTTTTACTTCGTAATTTTAAAAATTTTGTAACAACTGAGTAAACTCTTATAGATAACACCTGATTAAGGAAACCGCAAACAGCCCATGTTGAAATATGTCTTAAAGCGGCAAATTCATCTGAGCTACAAATGCCATGAGATCCTAAGAAGGCGCGACCAATGTACTGAAAAAGAGTAATATTCAATATAAAAGATGAGTTTTGAACATGTTATCCTTAGATTACTGAAAAATGCTATCAGTAAAGAAAATAAACTTTAAATTCATTAACCTCATTGTATGTAGTTCGATGATGGCAACACGGGGCTAAAACGAAACCATTTACATTCAAACCGCTTTTTACTCCATTCATTAAGCACCGGATACCAAAATCTGTAGCAGCACCACAGAAATGTTTGCATACTGCTGCTGTATTATCCACATCCTAAAATTTTCACGAAAGAGTTATATTTGTATAACATGTTTTTGAAATATAAATTTAAACCATAAATAGCTAAATTCCGAAAATTCTAGCTTTAATTATCCAGCAACCTCTGCTTTTTATCGCTAATTCCTTCCTTGAAGTACTTTTTAGCAACTTACCCGAATCAAATCAATTTTCGATAAATCAAGATGCTCCACCGAACAACGTAATCGTTCAAGAAAGACTAAATCCAGTTCCTCAATTTTGAAATGAATTAATTTAAACTAAAAAACTACATAAATTTAAAGTGGACAAATTATTTAAAAAAATCATGAGAAGAGCGTCGATAGTGCGTAACTATCGGAGTTCCGAAAAGGTAACATATCATTCTCCTTCCACTTCAAAAACGTAAATATATTACTACTTCCGTTTTCCATATCAAACATTTTCATAGTACGCTCTTAACTAACTGAAATTCCAAAACTCAAATGTACTTTGTGAATTTTATTATCGAATTTATTCCTTGATCCCATCTTTTCGATCAGCAGAAATCGACATTTTGGAGCAATTTTGGCCATCCAATATGAAAGCTGTGCTCTACCGGTTCCAAAATCTATCATACACCAGCGCTTGTCATTATTAAGCAACTCGATTATTCTTAGATGTTCTATAAAGAATTAAACATACTGAAAACACAGAAATGATTCAATAAAACAAAAACTAAGAAAGATAAGGAGCAGTATTCCAGCTCAAAGGCATGAGTCCCATAACAAATCTCAGCTATCAATCAGATTGTTAAAACTACCAATTATTGATGATATTTGCCAAATATGTTTCTTTTTCAGTTTTGAAAAACTTGAAGCACAGTTTTCAATAAATTCATTTTTCAGAAAGGAATCTGTAATATCACTGGCTATCTGGTTGTATATTCTTTCAATGATTTTTCGAATTCTCAAAAATTCGCCATCTGAAGGACGATACCACGGCTCCACTCCATTTGGAGATCCTTTAAATATGTTTTGTAAACAAAATCAAACTAAGGAAAAACATTTTCATCAAAATATCACAAATAGAACTATAAATATTAAAACATATTAGCACTCCATTCCTCTCATTTCATAAATGATAAAACTTATGCTGAGTTATTTTTAAAATTTACATACATACAATGTAAGAAAGCATCAATTATTATTCCTAAATTTGTCATCACTTGAGATAAATCCCAGAGAAAGTTATACAATTAAACATAAGAAATAATGAAGGAAATAAACCTGCTAAATTAAAATTTTTAACGATCCACGGTACTTCAGGTAAACGACTATTACATCGAGAAGATAAATGTTTTTGCAAATGTGATTTATTCACTGTGTGTCTTGGATCGTTTGGACAAATGATACGATCCTGGAAAACTGCAACAGAAACACAAATAGTCATCAGATTACAGTTACCTCATTTATGAAAATATGAAACCTCATTCTGATCATCGTAAATAGCATGTTCTCCGCAATATTTCTGGCCGTTTTTCACCAGCATCCGACATTTCCGGTTTTTCTTTTTCAAAATAAAAGAACAACGTTCCATGACTGCAAAAACAAACAAAAGATTCTTGAAATTTTGGTTACAGGTTATATCATAATAAAGAAATCTAGGGATTTGTATACAAAACCAACCAAATTGTCCTACAGTAAATACACACTGAATTATAAAAACTCTATGCTGTTACACATCTTTTATGTATCCTGACAATTGTTTCATGAAGTTTGAAGGGGTGAAACGTCCATGCCATACTTCAGGTGACATCAAATTGCATGTAACGTCACCTGAAGTTTTAATTAAGGCTACAGTTGCGGACACACACATTTTATACAGAATATTACTAAACAGAACAAAATACATTCATCTGGTTACTATCCCAAGCAACGAATGGCAATCACTACCAACGTCACGCAAAACCCGTCTGCTCGCAAAACGTGTGTACACATATTGCGGTAGTAGTGCAACAAAGTTTACCCAATGTGAAAACGCTCGAGTCGATGCAAAAAAACATTAACTGACCCGTGCTAAATTAATTCGTTTGGTGGTTAAATAAGGCGGACAGAATATCGTTTTCATAACTTCACGACAATTAGGTGAAGAGGCGAATTCAATAACAAGTTATGGAATCATAAGGATAACAAACCTTTAAAATTTGCATATTTAAATTTTGGGGTATAGAAAGGGAATCCCAAGCAGCGTTATGGTTCAGATAAGTTGCTAAAAGCGGAATGATGCATTTGAAAACTACTGGGTGACAGCTAATTTCGAAGATTCTTATTGTTTGTAAAACTAGAGAGTTTGGATAAAAGTCTTGAAAATTATATCTTAACAAAAATTTTAACCAAAACTTTCAGTTTTACGAGATGATTGAATACTTATCCATGGCTAATGAAGACAAAAGATTGCCAAAGAAGAGTGATGAGGTTCAATTCAGAATATTAGACTTCGTTACACTTCAATTCCTTGAACGTATCGATGATATCGTTGGGAAAACTCATCTCCGGAAGGCACTACATCGATGGTTTCGGTTAGCTGACCATATTTTTTGTTTCAATTGTGGGCTGTGAACGAAATTTTTTTGAAGTTTCATTCAGCAACCTCCGATGAACTTTATTTTACCTCAGATTGTAAGTTTAGATAGCTGGAATTCAGGAATTTTTGTGACTATCTGTGATCTCCATCAAAAAATAAAACATATTACGCATTAGATGCGAAATGCAAAGTTAATATATCGGCCAGAATTTTACGTGCTTATTTTAAAGTCTTTCATGCCAAAATTCTAAGGTTAAGTTTTGATAAAATTTGAAGTCACACATTAAATGAAGAATAGCAGCGGTCAACAGTCGCAGTGCATGAAATATATTCGAACGGTTGAAATAATTTTTATGAAGCGAAATGATTAAATGACGCTGAGGTTACATGGTTGTTTCCAAAACCTAATTGAATTTAAGATTTGAAACCATTTAGCTAAGCAATTGATTGACATTGAGAAATTGTGATTTCAATTGACCTTAAAATACTTGTGGCTTGAGTGATGATATTTTTCGATATATACATCTATTTTTCTTTTCACTATAGAAGCTTATATTACGCTATATTGTTACCAACTGTTATACGAACTGTTATATTGCACAACTCTCATAAGTTAGGAACAAGGATGAAGTAAGTAAATGAAAATAAACAAATACTTAACTTACCAAAAACTTCAACCATTTTATAAGTGTAATGATGCTTAAATCGCATTTGAATAACGTTAAAAAAGACAGTTTGAGTTCTGATCAGTGAACGATGACACAGCCGAGGAAAAGTCGACTAAACTTCCATTTTGCTGTAAATAACTTTGTTTTCAATTGATTATTGCTTTACTTTTCAGTGATTTAACTAAATAAAATATTCATCAAATACTTGTTCTTTAGCATTTTGAAAAGAAATTGGATTCTAATTTTAAAATTGGTTGCAAAAGAAGACTTGAATTCAAGATGAAATTCGTCCTTTAGTCCTGCCTCGAAAACTCGAAAACAATTTTCTATTACCTGAGTTCACTCGCTTCAATCTTGCTAAAAATTATTCTGTTTTGGTCTGCTATGGTTATGAATTTAGGTTGGATGATATCAGTACTGGTACAATTTATTAAATTGTGTTTAGGTGTAAGATTATCTAGAACAGTACTTATAATTACAATTACGGCTAACTAAATCGAGTAGCAAATTTAATTTTTATTGCCTATTAATTTAACTGCATTGAATTTCTGTTAAATTGGTTTAATTCTTGAAGTGAGCACCAAAAAAAACTAAAGTATATTGGATCATGGAGAAAATAATGACGAATTTTGATATTACGGCGTAATATTATTGTTTTCTGTGTAGAGAAGGAAAAACTGTAAGGCGAGACAATTTAACTCCTTGGCAACAATCGGCGAGGCCTTTTGAACATTGACTTATTGCTGTGTTACTCCAAGTATTTTAGCAGAAGGTTCAAAGAAATCACTTTTTTCCTTTTTTACTGCTATTAAATTACTTCACAGACTTCTTTCATTTAAAATGCAGTATTTCTTTTCAAACTGTGATTTCATGGAAGTCCAACTGACTTCAAGTGAAAGGAAATGACATAAAGTGTTATTCAATAAATTCGATTGCATTACTAAAACAAAAAAATAGACTAAGATGTAAGAAATTGTTACGATAATTTAATCTTTAACACAGCTCGTCATATTATCACTTAATAGCTGCGATTTATATCAATTTTTTTTAAAAAAGCATTCCCAATTTCTCCAGTTAATTTAATAGATTTTGTAATCTCATCACAGTAACAAGTTTGATGAATAATTTTGTTCATCAGCATGAATTTTAACGTATTAAGATATTACTCCTCATATTTCTGACTTAGAATTTTCCTCTACCTTAAAAAAATATCGATTTAAATACTTCAAGAACCTGAAAAAGAAATCTACCAATATACGTTACCGGAAGACTAAACGATTCCATTTTAACTTTAAACTATAAAGGATAAAACGGATAAGATTAAGTAAAGAAGTCATAAAAGATGAGAAACGTTAGTTCATAGATTGATTGTAGCGTAATAGCAAACAAATTGCAACCATCGATCTGTAGATGAATATTCAAAACACGCCAATCCTAAAGCCATCGCATTTAACCACTCAGTTACGATCAGTTCAACAGACCCCAGAATACTTCTAGTTTCCAAAACTTCCTTCCGGAAATGTCATTGCTGAATTGCTGTCACTTCGATTAAGTCAAAGTTCGTACAAGAAGTTGCACATATAATCGGCACAAAAAGACAGCAATTTAGGCAGTTGGAACTAGCCAGATGAATTAATACTAGTTAGATAAACTAAGTTAACTAGTTTGATAAATTAATAAAATATATTAAGGATAAAAAGGACAGCACTACCTGAACATATCCAATGAATAAACACAACCTGCTTTGATTTATCACTCAAAATACGATGGTAACAAATCAAAGCTTCCATTTTAACCTTTATCATTTCTGTCTTGGACAAAAGCTTCAATATTCAAAAAATGCCCTTCTGGATGGGACGTCATTCTATCTGATGTCACTTCACTTCATGTTGCGTTAACTCAAAATATCACTGAATGCATATTCCTTTCAATAGTGTCAATGAGATACGTTGTTTCGTTGTGGGTTACATTTCACCATATCGCAGATTAGGTTCAAACATGTGGTGAGGTATTTTTTGTGTGGATGGGTACGTTGTTTATCGAAGCAGTGAAACGGTACCTTCTAGTTCCTTTCCTGAACATCTTAGGAAAGGCGAGAGATTTTGTCTAATGTTTCAGAAAACTCTGGAAAAGATCACATCAAATTCAGGAAAACTTGATTCCTAGAAATGAGCAATTCCCTCTCTTCCTGTATTGCGTTCTAAAGTAGTGGAACCTCCTGTTCTTGTCTGTTTTATTTATTAAAAATTCATTATTAATTACTAATGAGCTTATTCGTAGCATAGTATTTATTACATCCAATGATTTTCCTAATTCCACTGTATTTCAAATTTTAACAAGATTTTTTTTAAAGAGTTATACATGGAGTACAGCTGATATGCGAGAGGTGATGGCAGATGCATTTATGGATATTCCAGTAAGCGCTGAAGTTCTTTATGTTTCAGAAGTGCTATATATCTTTAGTCTTTTGTTTAACAAATCAAAATATCCATGTTTCACTTCCATTTTTGTAATGTGAAGTGCGGTTCCACTTTTTTCAGGATTTCCAATTCCGAGCACTTCAGCGTGTGAAGATATTTGATAAATCAGATGGAACATTGTACGATAATATATGTCCGTCTTGGATTGCTGTCTCATCACGATATGGGATTATTGTTTGTGCTTCTGGATGTGATAAGTTGATATCTTTAAGAAGTAGCGATGTTCATCAGCTAAGCAACAGTAAAGCTGATATCAATGCAGATGTACTTGTCATCCAGACGAAAGTAACCAACATTCAAGTTGAACAGGTTGATTTGTGTCTCTGTTATGTACATGACTTTTAAACTTTCACGAACAGGCAATATTACCATAAATTTGGTAAAACATTAATTGTTCGGGTTGTCACCAACACTAATTTTGAGCTGTTTTATCCCTGGTTTATTTATATCATATTTAAAATTATCATTTCTTTTGAGCTTAATTTATTCGAGAAATTTATGCACTGGGTCCCGGTATCTTTGCAGCCTGTTGCATTGACTGCGTTAGCTTGTAACTGCTCAGGTCGCGTATTATCGGTTTTAATGCGAACATTATCTGGAGCATTCGTGTTTCTCTATGATATATGCGCATTTTCCGTTGATTGTGTTAAGCAGGTTAGCTACTTACTATTTTGTATGTTTAGTAACACACATGTTTTGATCTTTAACTTTCAAATCTTTCTAGTCAATTAAAGCTTTATAATTAAACAATGCTTGCAGAACTTTAGAGATTTGTTGCAGAGAGATCCCGTTTACAGTTTGAAGCTCTCTGCTGATCCAACTGCCCAACCTTGTTCCCTAAAATGGAACCCACAACAGGATACTGTATTTGCTGTTGCTACGTCTGATGGCGTGTTATCCTGCTATTCTTTTGATATTGAGGTAATGCTATTTTGTAATTACTTTTTTGGCTTGGAAATCATGATATTAATTTATTCGACTTTTTTTCGTAATATATTTACCGTATCTTTTTAAGAGATCTCATCAAATGTTTTCATATTGTAATGATATGAAAGTGTTAGCTATTGGATGTGTCAGAGCGCTAGGAAAGCTCCAGAAGTTTGGAATAAGCTGAGAAGGCACAGCCATATAGTATATTGAATTTTATTATACGATCAATGCTTACATGTTTATCATATACTAAGGAAGTGTCATAGTCCGCACATCCGGGGGTAAATTATAAAAAGTGACGTTTTTACAGAAATCGTCTTCGATAAGTGTGATTGGCACTGTTAAACATGATAATGTCGTAACCTGTATAGGATGGAGTCCAAAGGGGAAACAGTTGGTCATAGGTGACATTTCGGGTCACGTAAAGCAGTACAAACCTGAAATGATATTGGTGCGCGTGACACCACCTCCTTTGAAAGGTAAACCAAAACATTTTAACTCAGTACAGGTGATTCAAGCTGGCTTAGCATTCGTTAGGAAAATTTTTATCGGTGTAATGAATCTTTTTTTTTCATTATAGATGAAAATAATGCTCTGCGTTGTGTTGGAATCAGTTGGCTTGCAACTACTGAAATTCTCATTGCCTATTCTCCAAGAACAGGGCAGGAAGTAGATATAGCGAAGTTATGTGTGAAAAAGGATACACCACCTCAATGGACACATTTCAATGACATTAACTTTTGTGGCGATAAAAGCACTTTCGATCAACGAGTTGAATTTACACAACTGGTGGGTTGGAAATTGGTGTTGTGCTCCTCATCAAGATCCAGTGAGGTCAGCGAATCTTTTGCAAGAAAAAAAGATCCTTGCCTTATGTTTTTGGCAGTATTATCGAATTTGACCTCAGCAACTGAGGAATAAATATTTAGCTGTTTTCCAAACTTACCTTTGTTTCAGGTAACAGTACTAGGTAAAGTCGGATCTGAATGGAAGATCTGGACTTTAGATGATAATGGGCGAATTGAAATGCCTCTTGATTCTGAACACTGTGAAACCTATCCAGTTGGTATTTCTGTCGATGTTTCATCAGTCCTCCCTGTCAAGATTGGTATGTTTTTTCATCTAATTTGTTTGTTTAGACTAATTATCACATTTCATTATTAGCGAAAGAAATATTCATAAAGAAAAAGTCATCTTATGAAACATGTTTCAAGAAATAAAAATATATTTCATTAGTTAATGCTTTTCTAAAAAACAAAAAGTATGTTTTCTTCGTTGAGAAGATTTCCCACAACAGAAGCAAATCGTTCCAGATAACCAATACAGTATGGAACGTCCTCCTTGTCCTACAGTCTTGGTTTTATCGTCTCGAGGGATCCTTCTTGCCTTCAATGCATTATCTTCTCGTGCCGAGCATCAAAGCATTAATATGTATATATCTGGTTTCCCTGTCTTTTTTTAGAAAAACTTTGCTTAAAAAAGACTGTTTTTTGATTAAAGAATATTGCTGGTAATGTAGTTTTACAGTGCAGTTTTCTTCAAGATACATGGTATTCAGAGATTGATTTTCTTGCTTTATTAGTATCTGTTTGTTAACATTTATGCGGTTGCTATATTTAGAACTTTTGTTTTGTAGCCAGATTCTGAAGTTTCAACTACAGTTATGTTTTTAGACAGCCAGAAAATTTACCATCAGTGATTTACGGAAAGATATCAAAAAGGGCTGTTGTAAAACAGAATGAGTATTCTTGTATTGGTTCATCAGATGCCATATGTCAAGCTATTCCGGTACCTACAGATTCATTGGGTTCAGCCATTTCTTCTGAAAGTACATGTATTCCAAAGCAGAATGAGTTGCAAGAGCAGGCAAAGGTTTGTACCAGAAACGAAAGGCTGATGTTACAGTGTCATTTAATACTTCATCCAGAACTTTATGTATGTAATATTAGTTTTGCCGATTTTGAAAAGGAAATAATTTCAGATAAACTCGTTACAGTTAGCAAAAGCAGCAGTGCTGTCAAAATTACATCAATCTTTACCATGTACTAATGTAGAAGATTCAACAGTTTCACAGCAGCAGATAGGGGGACATTTGCAACACCAGAGAGTTAATTCAGGGACAGATTTGATTAGACAGTTACGGGAAGATTTTCGGAAAAAACTTCTCATTTTTGATGAACAATTCTTTGAACTTTGTGAATGGAATGATTGGCTTCAAATTTTGCAGAAAAACTCAGCGAAACAGCTAGAATTGAACACTGGTAAGTGTTGTAGGTTTGTTTGTTTGAATTGAAAACTAAAGAAAGTATTTTTGTGGCGCATTTATAAATTATATTTCAGGCATAAATTTAGCTGATGAAATGTTAGAGTTGGAGAAAATACGAGCAGTAGTGGCATCATGGCTTGATGCTTTAGAAAACCAGATGAAAGAGTGTATGTGTTCAGTTGAAGAACAGTTGGGAATTGCGAATAATGTTGATCGAGAGCTGTTTGACAATAAATGGGTGTTGGACTTCAACAATGTAATGAATTAAACATTTATTTATTTTAAATGATGTGAGAAATCTGAAACAATGCTGCTCTTACTTTTTACTATTTTTTAGATGCATCGCTTGGATAAATTGGTAGAAACCTTAGTGAAATTGGAACAGAAAATTGCGAATGTTGAAGATGTATTAACAGAAATACCAACATTAAATGCAAAAAATAGGTTAATTTTGCTTGCTTTTTTTAAAGGTTAAGTAAGCAGACTTTTACAACTTTGTGCCTGTGATGAAGCTGATTTTCGATACCTAACAATAGCTACATTTAAGAACTTATTTATTTACATAATCCTTCAACAAGCAATAGTATTAATAAAGCAGTTTTGTTCCACTTTTTTGTTTACAATTTCAGATCAGTTTTAACTCTGAATATTGATCAAGAACAGCAGATTGCGGCGACTGCAAAAAACATCTGCAAGAGAATGGTTTCACGACGGAAAATTTTGTGTGAATTGCAACAACAAGTTACAAGTTTGAGCACTCGATTAAAGTAACTATTCTTTATTTTTAATTTTTCTAGATAATCATTTCACAATTGTTTTTACTAAAATGGTATTTTTAAAAATATCTTTTATGTATGTACGATTGTTTCAAAGTCGTAGAAATATAGTCTCAAAGCTGTGCTTGCTCAAAATTTAATTTCACTTATCGTTCAATTAATTTTACGATTGTATTTAACGTAATTACTTTTTAGCGTCTTATTGGTTTACATTGTTTATTGATTTTAGCGTCTTATTTGGTTTACATTTTGTATATTATTCATACTTTAACTATTTTTCCAGACCGTTGAGAAAAGACGGCGTGAATAAATTTTTCATGTCAACAAAATCACTTTCAAATTCATCGTTCAATTCTAAGACATATTGCGGGGAATTAGCAGCAGGAACAGCAGTTGTTACTGTCGAACAACAGAAAGAATTGTTGAAGTATGGGGAATTTGTTAATAGTTCTTTTGAAATAAGGAGTGTTAGTTACTAAAGGAAAACGATATGTCTTTATTTTTCATTTTATCTGAAAGATATTGTAGTGTATTCATAAGTTGATGTTGGTATTTTATTTTTTTCTTCAAAGAAGTTTATTTATTTTATTTTACCAGTTGCAGGATTCATTTCAGATTTTTAGCCCTACGTAGTCATGTGAAGCAGTCGGAAGCAAAAATTGTTGTGTTTGATTCACATGAAGCACTAGACTGTGTATCGAATTCAACTATAGCAGCTATTGAAAATCGCTTGTTTGAAGCAGCATTAATGCCAATAAAAACACCTACGAAGCTGTTCGAAAATTTTAGATATTTCCTTATTTAGAATTTTTAGGAAGAATCAGTTGAAGAATCATGTGTTTTTAACTGTCAAGCATAGATTTGAAATCGAATGTGTGTGTGTGTGTGTGTTTTAATTGTCAGGCTTAGATTTGAAATCGAATATGTACGTGTGTTGAATTTAGACCATCAAGGACTGCTTTGACTGCAATTGTGGCTTACACAGCAGTCATTGTTTTTGAAACCAGGAACTTCAACCTAACTTTGGCCTAGAAGCTAGTAAGTTCATGTTTTTTTTTATTCTAGCGTTATGGATATTGGGACGCAGTCATCTGATTATTTACTTTCTAAAGGTATGCCTTACTAAATGGGATATTATTACCTCTATTAACTTCAAAATTGCTAGTGAAATGGTAGTATCTCTTCAGGGCACACTTTTGTATCTTTATTAAAAATTCGGAGCATTGGGAAGGCAGTAATGCATGCTCACGCATAAACATATTTGCTTCCAATCTAATTAGTAAGATCAGTTTTAGGATTCTAGAATAGCCAGTTTTAGATTCCTACAATAAATAATCTAACAGATCATTGTAGTTTCACAGAATATATTTTTTGCTTATGCCATTATAGAGGCGAAATCGTCCATACACATGGTCACTTCCGCAGATTATATATCCGATGGGGCCAATAAATCTTTCGCAGTCCAGGCAGGTTTTTCCGTTTGTAGTAAAATGTTAATGAAAAAATTGGAATAAAATGTTTAAAAAAAAATCTGTTTTTTTGATGATGTCACGAGTAAATTTTAATAGAGAAAATGATTATCCTTTTTTTACTTTGTTTAGAAGAAAATAGGAAATTTGATAGTGCAGATTCGTATTTGGGATAAAATATTAAAAATTAAAATTTTCATTATTACCTATGTATTTATATTTTTCAGTAAAAGATTATGTAAAATATTGAAGATTTACATTGCGTTTTCAGTCCAACCAATCCCAAAAACCGACTGAATCAGTTGTTAATTTGCCAACAACTTCATCTCCTTCTTTCGTGAATTTGAACAGTTCTACAACCATACCAACAACTTCCAGCTGTTTTTCCGCGGTGGCAGTTACGAAACAGCTCCCTGTCGGAGATTCATTTACGAAAGTTCCAGATACTGTAACGTTGAATGAAGAGCAGCCGGGTGATGTAACATTTTCATTTAAAAATTTGGATGCTCCATCAACAACAGCGAATGATGTTTCTTCTCGAGGAACTGCTTTTTGCACCGTCATTACGCCGAATACCTCTGATTATGTCAGTTTTGTTTCACTCGATGTTTTTGTCTGTGATATGTATGTGGGTAAGGTGTGCCATACAAAGTCGAGACGGCTCTTGGGTGATGCAGTTTGGGTTAAATTTCAGATCTTGAATGAGTAGCTAATAGAGCTAATTCATAGAATTTCTTTAACTAATAAATTTCAAACAGTGATCTTGCTACTGAATACAATTATCCAAGCTTATTCAAAAGTAGTGTGTAAATTAACCTGAACTTATAGAATTCTACTGTAGCACAGAAAATTTTTTCAATGAAAAGCAAAGAAAATGAAACAACATCAGTTGAACCTATTGCAACATCAGAATCGTTGAAAAACATTTCTGCTACCATAGCTTCAAGTTCAACAATACCCACTGCAACTGACACAACTTCAACAAAAAACTCTGAAATATCAAACACGAACAATGGAGTGATAGTAGCAGATTCGTCTGTCTTAAGGACGACATCCAACATGTCAGATTCCAGAGCGAATATATCGTTTACCTTCAAGTTACCAGCAGCAGAGAATCAGCAGACAGCATCTGCTGTAAATGGTATTTTTTTTTTCTAAGTCTGAGTCTAAGCAATGTCGCATTATCGACAATGTTATGCTTTTGTAATGCTTACAGAACCGAGAGAAAATAAAAAATTTTATAAAAGCTTTTAATTCAGCATGTTTCTTGGTGATGGCCAGTTGACAATAAAAGTGTTGCACTGCTCATTTTTGATGAGTGCATCCTACCATTAAACCATTCTGCCCAGGTAATTAGGATAGGTGAGCTGTCAGTTATTTGAACGTTCTGACCTTAGCAATTATTCTGTTCATCTTCGCAGTTTATTTGAAGTTTCTAGATATAGAAAAATGCCATCTTATGCTTTGTTACTGCTGAACTGGCCATTATTTCTTCAGACTCAGTAAATGGTGGTAATACAAGCACGACAGTTGAGTTGCAGCCAAAAGATTTGGATGCTATAGGGTATGTATGGTCCTCATTCACTTGATAACATTTGAAGATCAAGCATAACAAAAAATTGGTTGTGGTGAAGGAAATATTCACCGCAGTTTTTTTTTTTTTTTTTAGCTTAAGATCAAATGTGCTGAATGATTTAGTATTAGACTTGCTGAACTATACTAGACTAAAGAATTTCAGTGACGATGGAATGATGGAAGCAGAGGGTACTTCATCTGCTCCAACAGCTGTGTTCTCATCGTCGCTCTCCTTGTCAGTTTTTCTTAAAACATCTGGTTTCTATAATTTCTATTAAATATAAGTTGTTATAAACTCTCTTTTCTTTTAACCTGTAACCTCTACAAAAATTATTTTTTTCGAAGTGCTTCATCAGTATTTTCAAAATCTCTTTCTACCAAAAAAAGTATCAGGAACATTAGAATTGAAAGAATTTTTCTTTAGTGGTTTGGAAAGTGCTGCATCCAGTGCCAACACGACGCAAAACATTTTTGGTTCTGGGCTCAAATTTCTGTCATCTGCACAGCCTCAGACAGTTTCAGTGTTTCGTAATGCTTCTTCTGTTAACAAAGGTAGCTCAGTATTTGATACTAGTGGTCCAGCAACTTCTTCTGGTGGTGGTGGTCTCTTCAGCCGAATGCAACAATCGAATGTAGCATCATCAACTTCGTTTTCTTTCGGTTCAGCAGCTAATTTGCATAGTTCATCCAGTCTTTTTGGGACAAAACCAGCAAGTATGACTTAAATCGCGAGTGATTCCAAAATTTGAAGTGCGATTTAGTATTTAAGAAATATTTTACATAGCCTAATCGATTTAAATTTTTTAAAGTCAGTCAATGTACTCTCGCATACTGTCAGAACTGTGCATATTTTCCACTTTTCTGCAATTTAGAATGATTAGTTAGGAAATGTTGTTTCTTTGAAACTTGTAAGATTTTTAAAGCTATGCATTCTTAAAACTCAATTTTAGCTAGTAGTATCACGTTTGGCGGTGCACCATCATTTGGTTCGAAACCAGTATTCGGATCTCCATCACCTCTTGTTTCATCATTTGGTCAACAACGTCCTCAACATGTTACCCCTGCAACTACTGCATTTTCTAAGTTAGTTTTTGCTATGTAAGAATTTGCAAGGTTAGAAAAAATCTAAAATTTGTCGTAATGTGAGAGTGTTACTGATTTGATAATGAATGGATATGTATTCTTTAAGTTTAAACGGTCGGTTAAACATTACTGTATTTTACCGGGCATGAACTAGGTCAGTCTTAATGCTTTATACTTTTATCTTCTAGGTGCAATGGTTTTATGGTTAACTACTTTATGAGATTCGTGCATGATGGTTAATGAAAAAATTGGAATAAAATGTTTAAAAAAAAAAACAATCAGATGTTTTTTTTTTGATTCGTGGTTATGTTCTTACTAATATGATGGAGCATAAATATTCTATTTCATAAAAATGAAGAAATCTAAACATTTGCACAAAATTTTTAAAATTTCTACCTAAATTCAATGACACGAATAATACTTTTAGTTTCGCCAAAACCAGTACCGTTGGATTTGGTTCACTGGCTGCAAGACAGCAACAGCAATCGTTGGTTTCTGTATTTGGTGGGAGTGGATTTGGTGCTTTGACGCAGCAACCTCAAAAAAGCTCAATATTTGGTGGAGGTCTAAATTCATCTGTAACTAACAGGTTCTTTATTTACATTGCAGTAAAGTCTTAGATTGAAGGTTAACCAAAACATGTGCAAAATATTTTAGTAAACTGTAGTATTCATTGCTCGTTCAACACTGAAAGCACTGCACGTGTTTATTCAAAGTTTTATTGGTTTGTTATTGATTTTTTAAATACTGATCATCTTTGGACCATTTTAGTTCGTCCTTTTCTATGTGGCGTTAGAATATGGCTGAAGAAACAACTACAAGAAAGTGAAAAATTGATGAAATTCAGTAATTGTTTTGTTTTTTGTGCTAAATCTTGCATGTTTATAAATGTTCTAGTCACATAAATTGTATTCCACATTGTTTCCGTCATATCAGCCAATAAATTCTTAAATTTATCATTTATTTTTTGTTTAGATTTTGAAAAGTCGATTCGTCAAGGCCGAAATTTTAAAATATTCTACTTTGATTTCTTTTATCATTCTTCAAGTTCATACAACTTTCTCCTACTGCCTTAGAAGATTGAATTTATGGCTTAAAGGCTAAAGTTAATAAATTCTAATCTTTGGTTATTGTTGGCTGTTTCTAAATCAAATGCAAGTTTCCTACCTAATCTAAAAAGTTTTTTCAAAAAGATGCTGATGTATGTGTCTGTCAATGTTTCGACTTTTATAATGGATATTTGCAATCATTGTTGCTTATTTATTATTAAGCCTTCGCTACTTTACTAATCGTAACCTTGGACATAGGAATTCCGATACTTTAGGAGTACATTAGTATAGAGCACGAAGTTGAAATTGCATAAATATCTTATTTAAGAGGGGGAATAATGCACGGTGTGTAGAGTATATGTCACTGGAAGTACATAATTATTGAAGCATAAAATTTGCTGAGTTACATGCTGATCACATTATTTGTATTCAGTGAATTTGACAATGTTAATAGTATAGAAATAAGGTGGCAAGAAGGGAACGAATGTTTAGTAGAGTCTGCGAGTTTTTAAATCAATCAAATCAAGACTATTTGTGAAGAAATGGAGAATGAAACTATGAGATCCACAGATTTTTATCAAAATGAATATAAGGCAAACTCCTCATTGACTCTTTCCCGTATCACTTCCTGTATGGAGCAATGCCTTGCAGATATACTGATGTGACAAGACAAGTAAGAAAAGGTCCCTAAAGCGTATCCTTTTCTCCACAAACTAATTCACTATTTCAATTGCAACTCTGTTTGTGTGTTCCTGTTTTTCTGCCTTGTATCATATTGCACTCTCTCAGATTATGCAGAAGTATCAAAATTGGGCGGTAATGTGTTCCATTAATGAATCACGTGTGTAATTTTAATCTGTGAGCGAGATGGTGTTTGATTCTTCCTTTTTCAAAGCCAATTTAGGGAATGTTCTCAAAAACTACTTCAGAATATATTAAAGACTACTTCACAGAGTTTTATGCAAGGAACTCAACAAAGGATAAACGTGATGAAAATTTGTTGTACAAACTCGATAATAAAATAATTCTTCAAATACTCTAATTATATTCTAAAGAAGTCAATAATCAGTTTAATCAATACCAGTAGTGAAATGTTGTGTAGTGGAGCTCAAGAAGTTTCTAATAAATAAAGAAAAGTGGAATGTATAATCCATCATCAAAGAACAGTCACAAATTCATTCAGATTTAGACGGGAAGGGGATTCTATAGAGCGAGAATATAATGTAAAAGATTCAGGGAAACTGCTGTTAAGCAGAAAAATTCTTACTTTTATTAGCTCTTTTCATTGCTACATAGTTTAATTCTAGGTGACGAATTTCATCTGGAAATGTTGGAATGTGATGAAAAGAATAAGTTAACCATAAACAAATGGTCAGTACATTTGTGTCACATTACCTGCATCGTCATATTTACAATTTGTAACACTTATAGCAGTACAGTGACCTAGCTCTTCTCTTCCTTACTATATCTTCTATTATCCTTAGTCATGTTTATGAGTCATCGTTTTGTTATGTGTAAATCAGACAAATCTTATATGAACAGATGAATAATACAGTTTGTTGTTCTGCTGGAATTTCGAAAATCCATTCAATCCTTAGGCGTAGTGCCGTAGCAGAAGTATATTTATTTTGATTTGCTTAACGAGTTCGTTCTATTTTATGTTATAAAAAAGTTTAACAGGCAGATCTGAACTAGCGAGAAATAAAATTAACAATCTTTCCTCATTAAAAACTTTTTTCTACAACAATCTCTGAGATAAATTCCAGGAATTCGAAATAGTTACTTTTGATATTGACTTATATAGGGGACGACACATTAAACGATGCATTTCTAAAATGTCTTTTTCTTCTATTCATTCTTGCTATTCAGTGATAGTTTTAAGAAAGGAAATTGTTTTTTTTTTTTTTTTTTTCTATCTGTTTGTTTCTAATAAAGAAATCATCGTTATTCATGGATAAATTACTACATCTGTCATAAGTTTCAGAAATTTGTAACTTTAGAAATTGCCATAATAATTGTTGCTAATTGAGATCTATGATTTCTAAAGTCAATTTGTTAGTGTGAGACCAATAGTTTTCCATTTTATTAACAGAACTGCTTCCCAGCACATTAATTAAGTGATCCTTCCAGTTTCTTTCAATTCTGTCATCTAACTGTTTATTTCAAATAAAGGAATCATTGCTCACTTTCGATATGGATAATAGTACTGGAAATTTTGGTACGAATTTCTTTTCTTTGAAGATGAAAATTCGTTGGTTGATGCAGTACGTATCACTAATTTTCTAATGGTTACATATTAATTCATATCGCAATTCAGAATTCATCTGAAACGTCAGATGTTCTACGGTTCGTAATGAACATTAAGAATTCAGAACAATCTAAACTAGCTGATTATTAAGCAAACTGATTCCCAATCCCGAAACAAATCAGCACCGGCAAGACCACAACGATGATATTATATTGATCGTTTTCTCTCCATTCATTTCATTTACAATTCGTTGTCACCCGAGAAGACTAATAATATATTCTAACTTTAGCATTTTCCCGAAATTATCATGCAGCCATATGTGTGGTCCAATTAATCATCAATATAATTTCATTGCATATGCATAATAATTATTACATAACTTATCAGGAAGTGTGATATTATTTTGGAATATCAGTCATATGAGTCGTATTATAGCCATATATTTCTTAAATTTTGGAATATTAGAAAAATTTTCGGAAATTTTTTGCGATTATTTGCAAGACTTTTGCTCTAGCGATTTTTCCTTTATTTGATGTTTTGAAGTGAAGTCCTTCTGTGCTGTCTCCGATCCCTTTAATTTAATTTGACTGTTTCCATCATGAACTTTTCGTTTTACGGACAAAACTTTTGAACAACATTGTTTTTTAACTTTCTTGAACACTGTTGGAATGGAATTTAAATTCAAGACAAACAATCAGTTGTAATGAAATGCGTTGCTTAGTGGTTAATTCCAACTTTCAAACTTTACTACTACTTTAAATTCGAGCCAATTTGAAAACCAGGTAAATTTGATATGTTTGTGAGCGAAGCTGGTTAAGTGATTTTATTTAATTTTATATAAAATCTTTAATATGCACAAAAATATTTTTATCCTCTAAAAATCTTAAAATATGAGCATTTTGATTTCATTGGTTACATTCCATTTAAACTGTTTGTATTTGCGATTTGACTACTTCTAAAAAGAATCCTAATTCTGAAAATTCGTATAATCTAGAAAATCCAATGGAAGATGAATGATTGAAAATCTTTCACAATTAACATTATGCAGTAACACTGTAAAATACCTGCGACAAGTCACTGCTCCGAAATGTTTTGTAAAATTCATGCAGTGTAACGAGTTTTATATTGTATTGAATGGTCTTTTTTTTTAAATTTACACAAGGATGGACTGGTTTACCGCATTTTCAATCGATCGACGGATATTTTAGTCACTAATCAGTTCTCCATATTTTTATTTCAGTTTTTCATATTGTTGTAAATTTAATTATTTGTGCATTAGAAAACCAGATGAGTTTCCTGAAAATTGCAATTCTTAGCACATAACAGTAAATTTAGTAAACAGTAAATATTCCTTAGTACTTTGATTTGATAAAATCATTTTAAAGATTTTTTTACTGAGCTTTTTATCTTTTTTCCAGTTTAACTACAATTAATTGAAAGAGTTGGCAATTCAAATTATTGAAAAAATGGAATACATTAAAGAATTGCTAATACATTTTTAGGAGAATGGGATGTACCAAAAAATTTGTCTAGCTATGGCCACCGAATAAATATTAATAGCACTGATTATTCCACTCATCATTCAATAGTTTCAATATTTTATCATCGTTCGTTTCATATCACAAAAAATGAAGAAACAAAAAACCGAGATGACAACTATGCTTTTACTTACTTGTATTCTACTTTTAATGAAACTTCATCGGACTGAGCAGTAAGTAAATCAGTCATATTCTTCCATTAATGCTTTATTTATTATTAATGTATTTATCAAAATTTATTTAGCATAATTTATTAATCCATTTATCAAAATTGCAGGATAACATTTGAATACTTATTAAAATTGCATTATAATATATGAGGAAATCTCAATTCATGTTTGTGATTTTTTTGTAGGAAACCTTTGGTTGTGACACAATCAACACTGAGATGGAATGCAATCAATGAGATGCTAATATCTGCCAGCAGTTCCGCAAATAATCTCGTTGATATTAGCATAGAAATTCATGCTTTCTATCCTTCGTTATTAGTCTTCCGACAAACATTACAAAGGAAAGTTGCCGGTGAGTGATCTTCCCCAATTTCCGTTTTTAGAAGCAATATATTTTATTTTTTTATTATTTATTCAAACATAGCTAAAGTGTTAATTTGTAGATAGAAAGGATATCGGAAAGAGATGAATATGTCAAAGAAATGATTATTGATGTTGATTGCAGGGTCACTAAATCGTGTAAAGTTCTTTGTCCCGGGTGGATCAGAACAGTCTGATTCCTATCGGTTGGTGGTTCGAGTTGAGAACGACAGTGAACCTTTTGAAGAAATAATACCGGGTGCACCCGATCTAAGAAACATTTATTTACAGACTGACAAAACTGTTTATAAACCAACTGATACTGGTATATGAATTTAAAATATTTATTAAGAATTCAACGAAATTGAAAGGCAATCATTGATAAGCTTCAGCATTAAAACCCTAACGTTTCTACATTTTGGAAATAATAATCAGAGAACAGAAGGAAAAGTTAATCTATTACTTCGGATTTATTAAAGAAAGACTTCGAAATATATTTTAATATTTTTCATTTCTTATGATGATAAGCAAATGATAAAAATATTTAAAAAATCTGTTTTGCAGTTAAAGTACGAGCGTTACCACTCACTACAAGCGGAAAGTTGTATGTAGGATCAGTGGATTTTGCGCTTCTGGTATGCTGAATTGAAATACTTTTAAATGTTTATTAATTGAATGCAAATATGCTAGACTGCTTCCACAATACTAATTCGAAATAGATCGTTTCAGATAAATTACTTCGCAAAATATATAAATTTGTTTCTTTTGTATCAGTAACCGAAGTCGGCAAAGTTTATGAGTGGAAAGGTTAACAGTTCTAGAATCCGGATGGTTTTGAACTGATACATAAAACCAGATCGAATTCTAAAACTCGATTTCTTGCCGTAGAGTTTCAATTGCCAGACCACTTGGCTTTTGGAGAATGGAAGATTGTCGCACGACCAGATCGCCATAAGCCTTACACCTACTCAATTACATTTGAAGTGCAAAAATACGGTACCACTTCTTTCTTTGATTAAGGCTTCTCAAATGCTAAAGTTCATAAACACTAGCAAGCAAGAAAAACAGCTATCCAGTTTTCCTAGATATTGAATTCTTTTTGGTCTGAAAGCTTTCTGTCCTACTTACCGAGAAAATAGTTATCTAATTTTTTTCTCAGCATGGTTCTATCTAGTTTTTTGTCAAGCTATATGTATATTTCTACCTAGCTATCTAGTTCTTCTTTCCAGCTTGATTCGATCAAATAAAATAGGTTAGGTTTACATCAGAATTAAAATCTGCTTAAAGATTACAATAAAATACGAAAGTTTCGATATTTTCAGAGCTATCACAGTTTCGCGTTCATACCTTGGCCACAGAAACTAATGACATTGATTTGTATGAAATAGATGTGTTGGCAAGGTAGAATTCTCTTAGAAAATCTAAACAAAAAATTAACAAAAAATTGATTCAATGAACTATTCAACAATAATCATTATTTCTATCCAGATTTATAGATTTATAAAATGATTGGGGTTTCTTTAGTTTCTTCAATTAGTTCATATAATAATTACTTGAAAATCTCAAAATTTAGACATGCTAATGGCCGGCAAATATCGGGGCAAATAACTATTTGGTGCGATTGTAATGCAAACAGCAGCAAGTCAGTGATACCGTCTGATTCGGGAAAGTCATTTCTGTGCATTCTAAAATCGTCTAAGGTTAGCTTCTTTAATTTTAAGACTTGCAAACATGGCGCTTTTAAATCCACTCTTTTTTTCTATTCCTAATTCCGCTTTCTGTCATAATTACGTTATGATACTGTTCTAAACCGCTGCAATTTTTGTTCGAATCCGACTTATAATTTATAAAAGATTCTACAATAGTATTTAATTTAAAATCAATTTATAATAAACCTTTCAGTTGCAATTTGTTTCGGTGTTTCTCAAGCTATCAGGTTAATCTGTTGTTTTTCATTAATATTCTAAATTTAACAATTACTCAGACTTATTGCAATTGATCTAATTCTGGCCGATCATCCGATCATTATCTATTCTTTAACAAAGACAACAATAACAGCATTATGAATAAACAGATTCGTTACTGAACTTATAAATAATTCTTCATGACGGGGAATACAACAGTAAAATAGAAATTATTTGATTAAGATTGGAAAATAGTAAGAATTGAACTCTTGAGAAATTGTTCCAGTTATTCACACAATAATCGATTAAGCTTTTTGAAGTATTCGATGAAAATTATCCTCTGTCAGAGATCATTGCTTCTAAGGACAAGAAAATATTTTTGAAAACGTTCTAGAAAACTTTGAAAAGTAAAGCAATCAATTATAAAGCAATTACTCTCAGTCATTTAAAATGTTAAGTGAACAATTTAATGCATATATCTAATTAGCACGAAATTTTTACAGCTGTATAATTTTTCTTTGAAGTAATTACAACAAATTAATTTGTGACCACTACAAGCAGAATGATTTTTCAATTACTTTTTTTAGCAAAAAATTTAATGTCATTTTATTTGATAAAGAACTCATATTTCTCAATATATGAACTTATATTTTTAAATTACAATGAGTATCAAGCATACTACTTCGCTTGATTATGTTTAATCTTAGGACATTTGTCGATAAGAAATGGAATGATGCATTTCTGCCAGTCACAATGTCAACGCAGTAGAATAAATTTGATATATTTGAGTTTGAGTGAATGTCAATTTGGAAGAAGCATCTACTATCAATCCAGTTTGTTTGTAGCAAAATAATGTATATTTTGAATAGATATTTTGTCTAAAAGGATGAAAATTGCATCAGCATTGCTTTAGTCATTCAGTCGGAGAAGACAATAGCAAACAGGAATGGAATGAATCTACAAAACTTGCAATTCTCAGAAATCCAAACATAAAATTTAAAATATATGAAATGACAAGAAATAGGATTCGCAATAGTTCTATTCAAATCACGTCTCTCCCGATAATCTTTAATAGCAGAAAAAAGTTTGACCGAAGATCAGTGATTTATAAAATTATGCCTACAGTTTTTTGACTTCATTTAAAGATGCTTAACTTGAAGTCATGAGCCTTGAAGTGTAGGTAAGTTTAAGGAAAATTCAACAAACATTTTGTACAAAAATTTTCTTACGATAAAAGGACAGCAAGAGGCTCGTTGCTTTGTCGTGTAATTGACGCTTAGTGCTACTGATTTTTCCTTTACTTAATTGTCACGTGGAAAGGCATAATCGATTTGCATCACGTTGGATAGACAAATTAATGCTTGGAATAGCAGAACTGATTGGCACTTGAGAAGAGATGGAAAATTAGTTATGAAATTCCTAGTCACACTTCTCCTCAGTCTTTTCTTTCCTCGATTTTTTTCTTTTTTCTCTAGTTATAAACAAAGGTGACTAGAATTAAAGAAATCTGGTTCTGCTTTTATCAGGTTGTTTTTTTATCAACGTTTTTTTGGGCTTTTACAACATTTTAAGATTTTTTCATTGTGCAAGCTATAAGCAGATTATATTTAAGAAATAATTGCGAATATCAAGATTAAAGCTTTATATATTGAAGCTTTACCGAGATCATTCTCATCAGGATCAAGAAAAAAAAACGGAACTAGTTCTTGCTCAGTAAGATTTATCCAGTTTCAACATTTGCTATGTTTCAACATCTTTTGGACTTTTATAATTCGGTGTTCTTTTAAAAAACTATTAAATTCATTTGTAGAGAAAGTGGTACTATGAGTCTGTCTGAAATCATACCTAGTAGTGCACAAAAACTGGAAAACTGAAGGTTTGTTATGAAATTCTGCGCACCTGTTTTTCCAGTTTTTATCGTCTGCTGGAGAATTTTGTTAAATTTTCAATTAAATATCATACTTTCTATTTGAATAGAATGTACATTGTGTAATTCAAAATATTTTGAAAATTTGTGCAATGCTATTCGTATTTTTAAATGAGAATGCAAATTTGATGCAATTTAGAATAGCATTAAAAAAATTAGAAAAATTAACGGTTATTGTTATATTAGTTGGAAAACCGTTCGGCTAGTGTTTTTGTTTCTGAGCAAAGCAGAAAGGTGACAATTGTATGTGTCACATTCAAACGCCTTTCTGTGCAGTCATCGAGCAAAAGCGACAAGATTGATAAAGATTGAAGTTATTCCGAGCAAAGACATCCGATTTTACGGCAATTTCAGCAAAGACTAGGGATTCAACAACATTAACCGTTTCAGCTGCAAATACTATGGGAAGTACCGGAAGTACTATGATCGATGCCACTGGCATTCCACTGAATCTTGATAAGAATGCAACTAGTGAAACTATTCGAGATTTGATCCTGACTTTAGGGCACGCTCAAGAAATAGGTGATATAAACTCAGCAATCGAATCATCTCTGTCGACTAAGGCAGTGGATGTTGGTGGATTTTTTTCTTATATATCAATATTCTCTAACGGAAATGACGATAATAATGATAATGGTGACGATGATGGTGGTGAAGATGATGCTAGTGATGATGATGATAACAATGATGCTAACAATGAAATAACAACATCCAGAAATTATCTGCAAGAATGGACACCACTGTACAGCCCATCATTGTCCATATTTGCAACACTGTCATCCGGAAATTTTTTGTCCGAAAACGAAGTAGCACAAATATTCTCACGGTTCGTTAATGTTAAAAGATGAACGCTTGAAAAAAGATGAGTTTGAGTAAAACCGAAGAACTTTTAAATTCAGATATTTTAAAAAAGGGCGAAACATGCTTCTTTCATCCCGTACACCACGTGGCACCTACAAGGTCATTTTGAAGAAACAGTGAGAATGTTGAGACATCCTTTGTCATGAACTGCAGATCTGAAGTATAAATTTTACTTCTTTTAGCAAATATTTTGAAGATGTAGGATCGTTTAAATTAATATTTACAAAAGCCTTACTAAGCATTTAATTCAAGTTTTTAAATAATCGGATTCGGATATTTAAAGTTAGGTTAAAATTCATGTTCCATTTTCCACTCTTAATTATCTTTTTCTTAATTATCTTTTATCTTTTTCTTTTTCTATCTAAAAACATCAAAATCTTTTTATTTCATGATCTAAAATTTAGATTTTGTAATGCTTAGGGAGATTTTAAACCCAACATAGGAAAAAAACATATACATTATTGGACTTCGCATCAGGTAGTAAGATTTATAGAAAAATGGACAGGAAATCTATTTTATTACTTATAAGAAAAAAATTAATGACAGAGCTTGTCTTATGGGTAGGAATTTTATTCTGCAATTAACAGAAAAGCTCATCTTATGTAAATTTTGTTTATGTACGTGATATATTATCAAATGAAAGCATTTACGATACAAATTCTTTGTTTTTTGAAGAAATAAAAAACTGCAACAAATTATGAGAATTTGAGCTTATAGATATGGAAATATAAAAGAAGTAAAATGGATTCGAATAAGCGACAATAACGGTTACATCATTTTGTTCAGTAACGAAACTGAAAAAGAGAAAGCCATTAAGGTACACAAATGCAGAATTGCTGACTTCAAGTTTGACTAAATTTCACAGTTAATTCCAGACTGTTTGTCAGTATCAACTATTATTTATAAACTGTAGTTTAGACAAACTTATGAAGAATGTAGAGATAGTTTTTGCTTGGTCAGCTACCGGAAACAGATTGATTGAGGTAAATGCAGACCGAATTGATTTCTCAGTGAATGTACTAAGTAAACGAAAAACCTGAAAAAAAGTGTTCAAAGTTAATTTTCACTTTGCGTTCTATTGCGATGACGTTTACTTCAAATTTAAAAATCGACTTCAAAAAACTTGAAAGATATGTGGCGACAAAATGGAAACGAATGGAAGATTATTGAAATTGTGGAGTTTCAAACGAACTCGCTTATTTGTGAATAGCAAACTAACTGTTGTTGACGCGACGAACTGCACTTCTCATCAATGTAAATAGATTATTCCGAAGTTGGAGGCAAAGTGCGGTGATATTGTGACGTTGTCATTACAACACTTTGTGGTAGTGACAACAATAAAAGTGTGGAAGAGGAGAGGGAAAAATTATGTCTGTGAAATAGTAAGGAAGACAATTTGTTAATGGAAATCTTAAGAAGCATGATATGAGCCAGTAAATAATTCTTTCAAACTTCTTCATAATGAAGGAGCTCATTCAGAAGCTTCTGCATGACCGGTTAAAGCGACGGTTTAGAGAAAGATGAAAGTGCATAATGAGGATGGCAAAGTTAGGGTCAAATGTGGTCCACACGATAATGAATAATCCCATCATCTATTCCTCTACTGCAGCTATCACTAGGAAAATTACCGAAATTAGTAGTTGAAATATTTCGTAATCCACTACAATTTTTTATTAATAAGCTTAAGACTGATCCTTTGGCATACTTAGAAGAGTTAGTCAGTAGACACAGATAAAGGTAAAGATTGGCACTTGCAGCGATCAAAGATAAGGATGAAAGTGATCCGTATATTATTGGTGATGCGAAGCTACTCGGATTTGCTGATCCGTTCCAAGGCAATTCTAACAATTGTATAAGCAAACATCAGATTCCGTGCTATCCAAACGCTTCAGTAATGACCCTCAAGGAAAATATGCCATCCCCGGAACGACCGGGTACTAGACCATCACCAGCCACTGCTTTTTTGTTGAAACAAATTTCTGAAGCTAATGTGCCTGAAGTGCGTGGTGATTATGAGCTTTTTTGTTGCCTTTTTCTTTTAGCCTAAACAATTTTCATTATTACAGGACAATTTTTTCATGAAGTAGGATTTAAATTTTAGTCAGGTCAATTTTACGAAAAGATATCACGTGATAGTGGAAATGAGAAGAATCGTTTTCTAAATTTACCAGCACCATATCATCTATTACCAGATACACCTTATTTTCGTCGAGCGCCAATTGTGCCTCCACCAACAAGGTTGCACCTTTTTTATAATCAGTTTCTCTGGAATTTCCTGTTTTCATACGATTAGATTTCTCCTGCTCACTATACTATTCTGGATCTTTAACTTTTAACGTGATTCTCTCGACAGCTTCATTCTCTTCTCTCAACGCTTCTGATTAAATTTGCTAGAATTACCAGATACTAGCTTCTGAACAAAAGAAATACTGTGGTCGTTGATTTTGTTTCTTTTCTCCAAGCTACAGAAAGGTTTTAAGGGTGGCTGTAATTTCTTACTGAACTTTTATATTTTTTTTTTTTAGTAATTAAAAGCTATTTAAATTAACCTCTAGTTTTCACAAATAAGACAAAAAAAAAAATCTCCGTGGAATCCTGACATTACATTTTTGTTTAGTTCTTCAGTTAATCTGAAGCTCTGATAATTATTGGTGTTCGAAAAAAATCCTATTCTAAAAAAAGTCCAGGAGGTTGACTTCAATTAAAAGTAAGAAAATTGAAATATGAACTTCTCTCCAAATCTGCCTTTTTTGAATTCTTACCGGAAAATCCTATGAAACTGACTCATCGAAAGTGTTTATGTTCTAACATATTTTTTGCTTTGAAATTCTCAACACTGTAATTAAGCTGTTCTAGTAAGTGGCTTGCCAAAGAGGATTAAGCTTATAATTTGAATAAATTTAACGTTATCTAACGTTTGTATATTCTGGCTTTACTATAATAGTTGAACAAATAGCTTCATTTAAAATATTGGCAAAATTTGTCTTATGATCTGCTAGCCTTAGCCTATAATATGAGAGGGAAATATACCTTTGCTCTGAATCGTACATGTTGCAGTGAAAAGACTTCTCTAACTTGAGGACATAAATCAAAACAAATGCTAGTATCAGAGTTCTCATATCATGCAAAGTAAATCGCTTATATGCTCATAAAATTTATATCTCTCGATCTCCATTTATAAGTACAATATTTGACGAGTATTGATGAGTACATTCATATTTTTTGCAAGTGAACAAGGATATTGTTCCAATTTAATATCTGCACTATAACTCTCTTTATGACCATCAAAACGGATGATGGGTTTTGATAACTCATTTAGAGTGCAGTTAAATTTGATATCAAATTAATTTGTACAAGGCTGTAGCCTGAGATAGATGCAATATAATATGGAAAATTGAAATGGAAATGATATTTCTAATTAGTTAAAAGAAGTTATAATTACTCGATTAAAATATATGATTTAGTCGCAGTGGAATATCTTGCGTAATATTTTTATCCAATTAAATGGTATAATTGGCTTTATAATCCTTACTGCAACATTTCAGCTTTTGTTCTCTGCTCTTATTTTACTTTTCACGATACTGATTGTTTGAAGCACTTATCAGTTACCAGCCTTGATCACTTAATATTATGTAATTTATTATTTGTGCTAACTTGCTGTAACTTTCATTCTAATTACTTTTAATAATTGCAATATTTGCATTTACGTTATCTTTATTGGTTAGATCTTACCGATTATAGTCTCAAAAAAGGATTTCAATACTAAAGCAGTGTGCAATTACTACAGGAAAAAAGCAACCTAGAAAGATGCAAAAAATAGCATTTAATGCTGCAATCAGTTTTCCACACATCAAATCAAATGAATGCTTGGCTGGATACTTATTCTTTTTCATTATTCCAATAATTCCATTTGAGAACAGTTCGCTGAAGTATGATTGTGGATAGTTGTTGCTATCGGACAGATATTCCTAAGATATCGTAAAAATGAAAATTGTTCAGTGTTTTGAGAAAAAATGGATATTACTCCAGAACTTCCAAACCTTAAAATGATTCTCGTTCCAGACTGTCTCTGCGGATAAAGTTAAAAATACGGATTCGTAACAAAGAATAGTTATAGGAGTTTATCGACAACAGAGCAAATGCCCATTCAACAACGTATTATTAATCGCTATCTGGCAAGCATGAAAATTGATGATGAAAACGGTTTTGCAGCAATAGCACGATATGAACAAGAATGCTATAAACATTTATGTGCATCATCATATTATCCATTGTTAACATTACCGGAACAACAACCCTGTGCTTATCTAGGAATGAGAGAGTTCAAAAAAGGTGCAGGAAGAATAGGAGATGGCTTTGATACCGGATTAAGAATTGGCATGGGTGCAAGAAAGCATACTCTCTCTGCTGATTTTATTGATTCTTCAACAGTGAAAAATCAAACAGTGATACATACCTTAAATAGCACTAATAATGACTGGTCAACAATACTGTCACCATGCAATCAGCATTACGAAATATGGGATTGTGCCCCACTGTGGACATGGAATTTCAAACAATAGTGTGTGATTATCTCAAGCATTTTGGTGCAGGCTGCTTCGATGGCAGAAAAACACGTTCGAATATAAGCATTTGTATATTTTCATATTATCATTGTCATTTATCATTGTGCTAATTCTTTTATCATTATACTATTACTTCACTTCCAACAGGAAGGGAATATTTCGTTGAGCAGAAGATTCGATGCGATACAGAAAAATTTATTTTGAAAGAAAAGTTAAGAAAAGATTGTTAATATACATTTTTCCTAAATTATTTCATCCAAATGCATAAATATTTCTCAGTCATATTTCAAGAATGTCATTGGTTCAAATGTTTGATCCAGTTTCTCAAAGTAACTTAGCATTTTTAGGTCTTTTCTGAGTCACAAAGTTTATTACACCAATTTATTACAACATGTGATGTAATGTAAAGTTTTATACCTCATCTTAGCTTTCATGAAATACCAAAGGGAAATTAGTTGTGTTTTTATCACAATCATACCGGAGGTGGATATTAGTGTGAAAATTCCGACTACTTTAATAGTAACTTTTCAAAGTGATGAGACGATTCTGTAGTGTTCAATCAAAGTCCCTAGATTTGCACAGTTGTAAAATTTCTGTTTATTCTATCTGGAATAACTCACTGGGAAGGAGTGAATTTCTTTAATTAAGCTGATCGTACTATATTGGACGTCTAGTACCTACTAAATACTTATAACACAATACTTACAGTTAGGTTAAATAAAAACTGATCGACTTGTGGTTTCAAGTTGTTCTTAATTCACTTTCATAAATATTAAAAAAGATTTTTTTAGAATATGATCAGTTGGAAGAATTCGATTTACATCCAAAAATTTTCTTATTTTTTTACTAGTTGTTGCATTCTTCTTGGAAGTAGATATAGATCAAGAAAATATAAAACATTGGCATTTTTTGGCTCAGGGCTTGGTACATATCACTTGTTAGCAATATTTATATAAACTTAAAAATCAACCTGAATTGATTGTGTATTTACAACAGTGCCGAATAACGGTTGAGATGTTTAGTTTGCACTGCATTTCATATGAGAAGGTACAAAACTCTGATGATAATTTCTATTTTGCAATATGAACTGAATGGTAAAGAAGGAAAAATTTATTTAAAAATGAGATGAGATGATAAACTGTTGTCCAAATGATTTTCAAGATGAAATGATTCTTTGGAAAATTCTTATTGCCTTTAATTCTTATTATCTTTTTTTTTTCTTTTTAATGAAATTAGAATTAGCAACTAAATCAAATAACTCTTGTTATCAATAAGTAATTTAGAAATACAAATGATATCAATTCTTTTTTCCCATCCCATTTATATATCATCAATGTCTAGAACATCAATGTCTCCATTATATCCTTTTGATAATGATAATGAATAAGAATAAAAATTATGCAGTATTTAAATACTGCCGAAACTTTTTGAAGAAAAATATTAACAACTATTCTGAAACTGAAATTTCTGATATATTAAAAAGCTAAGAGAGTGGAAAATTGATTCTGTGATTATTTATTTCACAAAAACGAGTATCATTATTCCAACTAATGAATGATAGGTAGAAGCAAACTATTACTATTACAACTTAGAATAGATAGGAAATCAAATTACCTGATATGGACTAAATATTTCTTATGCAAAATAATCGTTTATTAATTCATGGGAACGATTATTAATTTATTCAAAAATTCCTGTGGAAAAGAACGAATAGATGGAAAACTGGATTAAATCGGTAATAATACAAAAATTTCTTAGTGCGATTAAGCAGTGTTTCTTCCAGCCATCTCTTTGTAACTATTCCTTTAAAAGCTCTGTCAATGATGTGGTCTCGCTATTTTACTTAACTTCTCTCTTCTCATAGTCAACGAACGCCTTGGACCTGCTTCTTAAAATTTGACAATACCAGAAGTAATGTGCTCATCGAGGAAAGATGCCATATAAATTCCTTCTAATTATGCGCAAAAAGGTCAGAAGAATTCCATTCCTTCTTTCTTCTTCTTTGGTAACATATATTATGCTGCATAATACTTTAATGCATAAATTGAAAACTCAACCTCTTACTATAAAAGTACTGCATCATGTTAGAGGTTCATGGATGAAATAGCATGAAATGTATACTTATCACTTGTTTGCTATAACCCAATCATTTTGACAAGATTCAAATTAATTGGAATAGTTTTAAGCTGGATAGTTGTATAGTCAAATTCGTATCTAACAGAAATTTTATTGCATTAGGATTTAATTTGAATTTGAATACAAGTTTTTAGATAAATTCAGGTCACTGGTCTGACCGCATAAACATTGTTGGATGTGGTAGAAGCGCTATAACCGCCCCGTCAACAAGTTTGGCCAAACTTACGGCAGAAGTGTTAGATCAAGGTACAGGAAGTCGAGTTAAACGCGACATAGAAATCGATAATAGATTGACAGGTTTCGAACTCATTCCTCTGAAACCCGGATATTATCGCGATTCTTCAAACATATCTATATTGGTGAGCAGTTAAAAGATAGAAATACAAACATCGGTCGACTTTTATCCAAAGGGGTATTTGCTGTCTCATTTGTTTTATATGCACTCAATCTTTTCTGAGAAAGTAATTAACAGAGCCAAAGTGATTGATTTTCCTTTGATTGATTGCAGCTTCAGATACGACTTCGATTATTATAAGAGAGGAGAAAATGAAATGAAAAGATTGTGATGTGAGAAGTCGGTAGATAGCACAATGTGAATTACTTTTAAGAAAGTTTAAAAAGTAATGTAAGAATATATTACAGATAAAATCGACAGGTCTATCTTCGATGAGAGCCCAAGAGGTGGAAATTAATGTTCGATGTATTTCCACAGATAAAAAACAAACTCTTAATTTGAGAAGATATGAGGGAGTAATTGGCTTGCTTCTAACTATACCATTTTCATCCAACTTATATGAACATAGTTGTCGAGTAATATTTATACAGGTTATCTTTTCTCTTCAAGTAAAAGTTCAAAATTCTATTTTCACTCAAATTTCAACATAGATCAGAGATGAAAGGATATTCAATGAAATTCCTTTAAAGAAGAAAAGAAGGAAAAAAATATCTCAAAGTGTTTAATTCGGGAAAGACTTGCATAGATTCTGATTTTTATGACAATCTTTGGCCAAGATAAAATTATTAGGTGGCTTTGGAGCTTTTGAGCCACTGTCTCAAGTCTTTTATTACAAACTAAAGAGTAGATGGAGAAAATAAAATTCAGGATTGGTGTGTACTGCAGAAAACGATTTTTTTATTTTGTAGCGCAAGTCATTTGATATTGTAAAGAATTATGTAAAGAAAAAGTGTTTTAATGGGTCTTTTAATGCACAATTTTAGATTATGTACACGACGATTTTTTTAAGCACTTCTAAATATTAAAAGTCTCGTTCGAGTAAATGAAATAAGAAAAAACCCAAGTGAAGTGACAAGATAACTCGAAATTTTGACTTAATTCTATGGATATAAAAATCAAATCAGCATCAAGGGACTTCTACGCTTATATAATTTTTTTTTTGTAAACACCTATATCCCATATCTCTAGAAAATTACCTTAAACCTCAAACATTTATAAGTGGGAAATTTTTGTTTTTTAATATCATATTTAATACAGACTCCTTCAAATTATCATAGTAACACTGCAACACTTCAAACTTTTTGTTCTTGTGTCCCACTCTCAGAGAGAGGGAGAGAGAGAGAGGGAAGGAGGCAAATGTGAGCAATGTTTTGAGAGATTATTGAAGCAAAAAACGGAACAGTTTGCTGGAAAAGAACGTTCTTGTCCATATGCTTAGCTATTTCTCCTTTCTTCGGGCGAAGTGAATCTTTTGTTTCATTGTTGTCATAAAAAGGGAAGGTATGCTTTGTGATTTACTACTTTTGTCCTCAATTACAGTCGTAGACTTTTCACGACAACAATATTTTAGTCAGAGAATTTAAACCTTTAGGGTCGCCGCAAAATTAGTGGGCGGTTCTCACGCCCCGTCACTTTGATGCTACCATCGGTTGATCATTCAGAATGGATACAGTATGGTTGGATTCAGTGGTCACTTCCCAGTAATGCAACATATCGAGTTGGAGAAAAATTTCGAGCTTCAGTGCCATTACATTTGGCATCAAAATTGAATTATTTGGTTTGAATTCACAATTTACATTAGTATTAACAGGTCCAGGATTTGGCTCAAGTAGGAAATTCATAAACATGCAACTCAGTTTCTACTTGCTCGCTCTACCCACTTCATCTATTTCGCTCGGTTATGGATAATTATGTAGGTTTTTGGTGATTGATTTTAGAATCTTGGTGGCTTATTTACCCACAACTAAAGTTATGAAATAAAGTTTGATGTCCTCGAGAATCCTGTATTAAATGAGAATTTAAAGCTCTTGTAAATTAAGGTCTTGTGCCAGGATGAAACTATCGCGGAAGTCGGTCGTGTTCGTGATGATGGTAAAATAATATTTGAAACGACAGATGTTATGGTACCTTATTGCGCATTGCACGTGTTTAGCGCAAGTGGAACAGTACAAATAGATACGATTCTCTTTTTTGTTGAATCATTCTGCAAGGTTTGATGTTTATGAAGAACCTTATGTAGTGTAGTGTTGTATTGGAACTTTTATGAGAAATAATTTTAAAATGATAAAATTTCTCAAGTTATCCTTTCTCTTCAATCTGATTTCCACAAGTGATTCTTTTGTAAAGCAAGATATTCATTGTCCTTACCTTAATTCTGAGGATTTTAGAATTCATTATCAGTTTCCAAAACACTAGTTAAAGTAAGTGACAACTTGACGGTAGCAATAAATGGTCGTTTCAACAGCCTCGCCTTACTATCGGCGGTCGATATACGAATGCACGAACTCATGCAGGTTATTCTATGAAATTTAACCGAGATTTTATAAGTATTGAAAATTTTAGAACAAATAATGTTTATTTTTACAGAAATATTTATCACATTCAAGATCTAAATACTGGGACTTGT